ATTATACTCTCGCTTTTTATATAGGGTATAAAAACATTCGAATATAAGCATCACATAATTCATTATAGACGATTTGACTTACTGACCTGAATTTAATAAAAAAATTAATCATCAACCCCATGAAAACTAAAGGACACATAGAAGGTACTTCCTGAAATCAGTTTATCACCCTCGGTATTACCTAATGTGAATGTGTATTCAATAATGCATTCAATGCAAACAGTCTGAATTCAGAGAAGAAATTCTGAATCCAGAGAAAAAAGTCTGAATTCAGCGGATTCTACGACCAAAAATAGGATAGAAAGAAATCTATCTTAAGGAATAAAGCTAAAGTCTGAATAAAGAAATAAAATGAAATACACACAACAGAGTGGTTTTCGTAGAAGAGCAATTGGCGATTTGATCGTGAAATTGAACTCTCTGCCGTTTGAGAAACATATAAATATGTACATTTATGCTGACTCAATAATATCATTTATTATTATTATAATTATTATTATATAACATTGTGTTGATCTACTACCACTACTCATCGTTGATTCTTTCGTAAGAACACGTCATTCCATATTAATGAAACGTCATCTTTACAATGCACACGGTATAATAATTGCCAGAAATAACGTTAACGTTAGAAAAATATAATAGATTGAAACAACAGATTATTGTTTATTTCAACGTTTATATAAAACTCACATTTTTATGATAGTCTATTCTACACCTGTAGAATCTGTAGAATATTCAACTGCTAGAATAGCAGCAGGCATAATCCAGAATACACTATATATACTATATATATAGGCATCTTCCAAAATCACAAGGACGTCCCTAGTTGGTCCTCAAGTGGGACATTTGTGCGTCCCACAGACGTCCAATGGACGTCCACGGTACCAAATTCGAACGTCCTATGGACGTCCTGAATGTCCCGACAGGACGTCCTAAGGATATCCATGGGACATAAGTGTGTTATTAGGGGTCCATGATCAGGACATGTCAATTATTTATATTGAACAAAATGGAGGTCCATTTGAACATTTGCTTCGAATTTATATTTTGTATTTTCTTCAGGTCATAATAAATAGGCTTATATACGACTATTAACCTCGAGTTTTTCGATTTACTTCTGAAATTTGGTACGACCGTTTTACTACGCCACTGGTTGACGAAATTCAAAAATAAAAACTCCCTGTGATTACTGTGATTAATCTGGATTGGTATATACCAAGTTTCAAGTTTTTTTGCTACAGGGGTTCTGGAGAAATTTAGAGAAATCTCAACTTTTTTCGTACTTTCGACACCCTGTAGGTACTCAGTGAGGATGCAGTTTAGGACATGTCGTATTCAATAAAAAAGCGTACAAGTATTAAAAATAGAAGATTTCGGCATTCTATATAGTTCTCGTTATGTAAAATTGGCTCAGTCCAATGCTTTGTGTTTTTGAGAACCTATGATTACTCTACTGTCAACATTTGGTGAACATATATTCATTCCCGATAGCCCGTTTTACGCAAATTGGATGACGTTAATTTCTTCCTCCAATATACTTGTACGCTTTTTTTTGAATACGACTGTACGTTGATAGGAACTTTTCAATGAGGTGAGGAATCCGTGTACGAAGTTTGTCGGTCTTATATTCTGAATCACCCTGCAGAGGCGGACTGGGGGGCCGGGCGGTCGGGCGATCGCCCGATGGGCTGGGGCCCTTTGGGGCCGGTAGAAATAGTGAATGAATAAATAAATATATGTCTTCTCGACAGCTTTCTGGGGTATGAGACCATTATAACTGCAATTTTGTTTAGAAAAATCTTCAATTTCACCATCAGGTACCAATGGATATTTTAGAAGCATACCGAATGATCGAAAAAACCATGAAATCCTTGAAAAAATATCGCGAGAACATGATGTAATTTTGAATGATACACATAAATTCATTGATAAAGCAAATGAACTATTTATTTTCAAAGAATACGAAATAAAAAAGTTTTTTTGATGAGAGAGGTGATGATGAAGCACCTCAAAATCCCATCAAGACATTCAAAATTGAGACTCCATGTGTAACCATTGATAATATTTTATCACCGCACTGGAATCCAGATTCAAGAAACATAAAGAATTGTTTCACGATTTTGAACTATTTGATCCGTCAAGATTCACTGATGATCAAATAATATTAACTGAAAACTCAATAAGAATGATTTTTGACAATATCAGAAATTATCATTCTGCTGATAATATAGACCTTGATAGATTTTACCCCGCAGTGGGAAAGACTGTCGAGTAATTTATCAGAAGATATGATGGATGGTGGAACTTATGTCTTCGATGTAGTAGAGGAATTGATTTCATCAAAACACAAGTTTCGCAAAACATTTTCACTTTGTTGCTACCATGTTTTGCACAAATACAATTTATACGTCGAAGTCTATCCATATTTAGAGAAAATTATTCTCACCCTTTCAGTATCGCAGGTTTCGTGTGAAAGATCTTTCTTCTCAAAATTGAAATGTATCTTGATTAGGCTAAGAAATTATCTGATCCAAGAACATTTGGAGGCTTTCATGATGATGAGCTGCGAAAAAATGATTTTACAATCAATAGGAAGCGACGATATTATTTTCGATTTCGTTGAAAAATGTTGATCCAGGAGAGGTTCACTCGTTTTCTAATTTCGATTTCGAATGCGGCTTATATTTTATTTTGGATAAATAATTTTCCTAGTCTTTTTGTAGCTTTAATATTATTCACAAAGTGCCTTATGTTCCTCTACCATAGAAATATCCTTTATTTAATTTATTCTTATTTTTCATTTTTTATAGAATGTTATTCCTGTTATTCATTTCATTTTCCTTCAGTATATTTGATGTTTTATCGACACATTTTTTCGCTTAAGTTTGATTAGAATCAAAATTATTTGTAATATTTTTTCGCGTTTTTGTCTATGTCACTTGAATATGTAATGAAATTATATGAATATCAGCTTTGAAATTTTCTCCGGAGATGGGCCGGTAGGGTTCAATTCGCCCGGGCCGATTCAAAGGTCCAGTCCGCCCCTGTCACCCTGTATGATTGCATAATATGGTTTCACATTTAATTTTGACCAAGATTGATGAACTTTTATATACAAAAGGTGATAGTTTTATTAGTTTTGGGTAAACAACGGCAAACAAACGTGGTGAACATTCAACAAATGGGAAATCGATGCCACAAACATTTATAAATCATTGACTTTCGTTTTTTTTTTGCTGAAATTAATGTTTGCTAATGAGCAGGTAGGTGTTTTAACGTGTTATGTGATGTATGAATATACCGTCAGGTTTCCAGAGTAGTGTGATCAGTGGCGGATCCAGGGAGGGGTGAAGGGGATAATTATCTCCTCCCTTCAAACCACGTAGTGCCGAAACCGGTTACTTTTTAGTGAAGATTTTTATACAAAGTGTGGTCGACCGACTTTGTGTTGCTTGTTTTTCTTATGACACATATAATAATGATCCAAATGATCAGCTGATTGTTGATGTAGATGTTCCCACAACATCCACCAGGGGGACGAGTATGGTGAACAGGATATTGGCCAGCAAAGGACCACGACTCGTTAGTGTACAACTGGTTCCAGACATTCTACCATTACAAGGCCATCATCGTATTTTTTACTGATTGGGAAAATCATCGGCCCATTACCATATATACCCCGGCAGCGATTTTACTAAATATACTGCACGCTAGTACAAACCACGCCCACCATAACACGTCATATCTCCAAACATTACCGATATACTCGGAGTCAGCACATCGCACTAAATATAATGTGCTCCAACGCAAGAATACACTTTTTATGATTTTGACACGAATTCGACTGAAGCTCTCTCGTTGTCAATCTCTTGTACGCAGTAAATTCATACACCCAAATGGTCTACTGGTTAGCGCTGTTGACTTTCAGTCTGAAGGTCCATGGTACGAATCGCTGTGAACTTGAACTTTTTTTTGCAACTTTTTTTTTCACCAATATTTTTTTACTTCATTCTGGTTTTCCCTTTTCATAAAATATTTGAAGTCGAATAGGTTAGTGCGTTTAGGATAAACAGTCTCATTTTATTCAATTTTGTTGAAGAACTCAACTTTTGAAATATGTTATTAATGAATGTGTTTCTACACTCCATTCGGTTTTCTTTCCTCAAAAATATTGCAATCAGGGATAGGTTAGTTCGTTGAGGATAAATAGTCTCTGAGTTTTGCCTAAGTAAAGTACTTTGAAGATGAGATATAACGGTGGGCGTGGTATGTGCTAGCGTACAGTATATTTAGTAAAATCGCACCCCGGCATCGTCACTTTCCCAGACTTGCCTGCACTAGGCCGGACTTTTCCCAGTAGATCTAATTTTGCATTGCTCTTGAGAACACCTAAGGAATTATTGAGTAGAGGAAATCTTTTCAATCAGGTAATAGTTTAAATATAAATTTCATACCAACCAAAATATTCAAGGTGACCTTTAAAATTATATTAATACTTTTATAATATATATAATCCTCTTCTTCTTTCCACGTTTGGAATCTTGTTCACCCTCTCTACATAGTTACTTGTATAATTATGATTATATCCTTCACACACAGGTATATTGCTGCCTTGTGAAGATGCCAGTAAATGTATTTATTGTTAAAAACAATTGATTTATATAGTATAAGTAGATATATGGAATGAAAATAAACATATATGATTTGAATAAGATAGCACAGTTCTCCGCATTGATATAATATACTTGGTAAGCTTACTCACAGATTACCATATCTTGTGAACTATCCAGTAGTAATATCAAGGACAACGGCGTAGGTATTAGTGTATTTATCCCATGTATTGCAGTTACTATGAAAATGTAATATCTACTGTATTGACCCACTCAATATGTAATGTAATGTAATATACAATTTTTCTTTTTTTCTGGCAATAAATGAAATGAAATGAATTTATTTGAGTATTTATAGTAAAACAACAATTAATATAAAAACTGTATAAAATTTATTATCAAAATTAAATTAAGTATATAAATAGGTATATAAAATAATATCCTTAGTAAAATATCCGAGATAATATCATGATGAATCTCTAGTTATCTATACATACCACTTCGCTGAATTTATTTTTTAACTCACTCGATTTTCAACAGTAGAAGATAGTGATTTTACAACTAATACCGGAACAATGAAACAAATGATAATAACCCACATAACTCAATATTTCATAGCTAGTCTGAACAATCGTCGGCAAATATGGAAATTAGAATTGTTACAAGATATCCAATTGGAATATGAGTAAAAAGGAAGGTGGTGTGCATTCTAGAAATGGCAAACAATAAATGAACAGAAGAAGTTAAAACGGGTTATCAAGAAATGCCTTGAAATACATTCCTGCTGAAGAGCTGCATTCTGAAAATGCCATGGAAAAGTTTGCATAAAAAAATCCAAAAACTTAGTAATCTAAATATATCGTATAATATTTGTAAAGTTTCAGTTTCTGAAGTAAATATTATTCATTTCGTTGAGTATAATACTGTTTTCCACTGGTCGCACTTTTCCGCATTGAATATTGATTGTCATTATTAATCATCAAGAAAAGATATCCACTGATTGCATAATTTCAGCTGACAAAACGTGAAGTAATGAATTTATGTAACAATTGATAATAGTATGAAATCCACACTGGATGGCAATGAATAAACATGAATTTCAAACGAGAATCTCCACTTTGGCCATTTGTTCCACACCAAAATGAACTTGTCCATAGTGAACGAAACAAAATCCTGTTTTTTCAATTTCTTGGCCGTTGATGGAAATCTACAGTAAATGTGAAAAATACTTCACAAACGATAACATTTCCACAGAATTCTTAATCACACGGTATCACAGCAGCTTATTCTTCATGTGAAATACTGGTACCTTAAACATAACTTACATTGACTCAACAAACTTTTATATCATACTTTCCGGACCGGAAGGATTAAAATTACCTGTGGAAACTGGTTGAGCCTTCATTTTCGGAAAGTACGCATAATCTACATTGCTATTCGATGTATGTACCTACAAGAATAGTTAGCTTATGCGTACTTTTCGAAAATGAAGGCTTAACCAACCTTTCCACAGCTAATTTTAATCCTTTAGGCTCGGAAAGTACGGAATGAAAGTTTGGCAGGACAATGTGAGTTTAGTTTATTGTACCAGTATTTCACTTTACGAAGCTACTACTGTACGGCACTGGGACGAAATAGCGCAGGACAAAATAGCGCAGGGTCATAATAGCGCAGGGACATAATAGCGCAGAGACAAAATAGCGCAGAGACGAAATAGCGCAGAGACGGAATAGCGCAGAGACAAAATAGCGCAGAGACGAAATAGCGCAGAGACAAAATCTATGATTACGTTAATTCGTTTGTCAGGGCATAGACTATTTCTTCAAATACTAGATGTTTCAAAAGGAGACTACCCTTACAAACGAAGTAACCTAATACTAGGTATGCCGTTGGATTGTTAAAGTAGACCTATTATTAGGTTAGTTTGTTTGCTAGGGTATAGACTCATTTTGAAACACCTTGTATTTGAAGAATGAGTCTTTACTCTAACAAACGAACAAACCTAATCATAGATCCTGCACTCCATTTTCGCGCGCAATTTTGTTCCTGCGCTATTTCGTACCATTACCACATGAACTCCTTGATTGAAACTGGTCAAGATGCATAAATGATTATACAACTCCACCCAGAACTATACTGGGTTACATTGAATTGCGCTATTTTGTCAATGCGCTATTTCATCTATGCGATATTATGTCCCTGCGCTATTTCGTCACTGCGCTATTTCGTCTCTGCGCTATTTCGTCCCTGCGCTATTTTGTCCTGCGCTCTTTTGTCCGCGCTATTTTGTCCTGCGCTATTTCGTCCCAGTGCCCTACTGTACATGTTAGCAGAACATGTCCTGCTATTAAGAATTTCGTGGAAATTCATCGTTTCTAATTTTTTTACATGAAATGAAATCCACCCCGTCTCAAACGACCCCGAAATGAACCACCTTGATCTTGGGCCCTCCCTCGCCCTCCTCAACTCCCTCATCCCTCCTCACAGGCGCGAAATCCTTCAAGTAGTCCTCGTTGGGGTGACAGAGAGGCAAACTGTCGGCCAACTCCCTCCGCGGATCGGTCACGTGAGCGGGTGGCACCGGCCTTTGAGGCCTTTTCACCTCCGGCACAATGAAAGCGGTAACCGTATCGGAAAACTTCACTTTCGCCTGGTTTTTCTTGGCGTTTTCTTGCGGCACACCGAAGGGCAGATCAAAGTTTATCAGATCCAGTTGGCCGGGTGTGATTTGCGGCAAAGGTGGAGTCAACACTTTGGGACGTTTGGAATCGTGTGCGGAGTTCTTAGGCACACTATGGTCGTTATGGAAGGGTTTTGCACTGACTGAATCCCCGGAATTTCCCGGAAAACGGGCACTAGGGCCAGTGAAGGGCGAGGAATAAGGTAAGGGCGGAGGTAAAACATTCGCACTAACTTTAATGAAACTACTGGGCACTTGTGGGCACTTGACGTAAGTAGCTCGCGGCGCGTAATTCGCTCTGAAGTACTCAGTATTCTGATTTGTCTCAGAAATTACTCGAGTTTCCTTTGTCGTGGGATCGGGTTGGCTGAAATCGGTGGTAAGAAAGTTGTCGGAGTTCGAAGGGTGGTAAGGACCGTGAGGTTTTGGTAGTTCTTTGCTGTTGGTCGACGAATCAAAGTCCTCGCTCGAGCTGCTTTCTGTCTCTGAGCATTGGGAGCAAGATGATCGTGAACAGTTTGAAGCTGGAAAAAAATGGCAGTTCCTAAATGTTGACGTAGTATAAAAAGTGTTTCGTATATTGCTCGAATAAACGAAACTACAAACCGGCAAAACAATTGCAAAATTGTTCGCCCTGTAACTTTTTTAAATCAATAGATTTAATATTCCGGAGTTTTAGTTTGCATTTTCGTTCTCAAATTCAGCTGATGACTTGATCATTACACAGGGCAAACAAAAGTTACTCTTTCACCCTCCACTACTTCGCGCCCTGTGACAAAAAAACGACAGGGCGTCAGTCTATCGACAACATCACACTGAGAATTTTGGATGATAATGGTCGATTAGTTGACTTTCGCGGAGAGATTATAGTCAAATCAGAATTGAAACAGCTCGATTAATTATTACAACGGTTTGGATACAAATGGGTTTCTGCTTCGGAAACCAATCAAAACGTGAATCCCTCGCTACAAACCCCACTATTTAACGCGATACCGTTAAGAAGAAGTGTAACGGGGTAGAGGATTCATTCAAAGACAGCTCACCGGCCGGGTAAGACGTAATAGATTATCTGCGAACGATATACATTTTTGGAATCTATTGGTCTGACAGTACGACGACGAACGAGTAGAAATTAGTCGACAATGGTTGTCACAAGTTCTACTAGCTTACAATGGGGGAGACCACTGATTACTGAAAAACTACCAGTGAATTGATTTTGAAATATTTCATTCATGCTAGGACGATGAAAAAAATAAATGAGAATATGACTATTTCAAAACACACAATTTCTGCGCCTTTTGAAATGGTGTCAATTGATTGGTGTGACTGGTGCGACGTATTAGTCCCAACACGCCTATTGTTCTTGAGCTGACCAATCAGACTGCAACACTGCAGAATGGCGAGGTATCAGATAGAGATAGCTACAGTCGGGACTAATACGTCACGGCTCCACCTTCATATTTGGCTTTTGGAAATATCGAATGAAATATGCTCATTTCAAAACGCTATAGATTCGATTCCCTTTAACTTCAGCTCATAATATTGATTGTACATCAAACGTCATCATGATTCGTCGATTGAAAGAGGTTTGCACGGATTTCTTCCATCAGTGGTCTTCCCAATTGGAAGTGTTTGATGAACCAATTTCCGATCATTCACTAATTAGCCTACATGAGCATACATACAAACCATACAGTTCACCATCATTCAAGAATTCTGATGAAATCAGGATGGCTGTCAACTTTCAAGATTTGATACTCGACATTTCTGATAGCTACATATATATCTAGGGGAAATTTACACCAGAGGATGCAACGAAATCCTGCTTATCTATCCAATAATGTCTTAGCCTTCCTCTTCGATTAAATTCGTTATGAAATGGGTGGAGAACAAGTATGTATGATTCGAAAACCAGGCATTACTACCACAATGAAGAGCATGGTCTCTTATGGCGATACCAACGCTAAATTCCTTGAAACCGTCGGATGGGGGATTGACATCGAAAAACAGACGATTCTAGACAAATCTAGCAACATATTCAGTGGAAAACTACCACTTAAATATTTAATGGGGTTCGCTGGGGATTACAATGAAGGCATTTTGAATGTGAGACAGGAGCTGATACTGATCGTAGCTCGCTCATTCAAAAACTGCTATATAGAAGAAGTTGATGCCAGTGTGGAGATTAACAAAATTGAATGGAAGATAGGGATTGAATAAAGGTGAAAATAGCATATAGGATGTGGGATCTGTATGAACTACCGTCCATTCGAGAAACATCTTCAGACATTTGGCTGTTAAAACCACCAATGGTCTCGAGCGACCAAGATACATTATCATAGGCATCCAAAATTCTGGTAACACAGATGATAGATTCAAGGATATCACACAATTCATTCATGCAGGAGGTAAAAAAAAGTTGAGTTTAGTTTCTTTTTGTTTTGGATCAAAGTTCGATCCCTTCTCAACACAATGGTTTTTGATTCAAGTCAATATCTTCAATAGAGTATATTTGAAATGAACTCCAGCGTTCTTCTTCATTCGGCCTTGTCAGTTACTCTTCAAAAGTCATAACTTGCCTTTTATGAAGAATTTAGGGCAATTCCAGAAAACTCTGCTTGAGAATTCGAACCACTCGATACTACGAAACTTAAATGCTGTAACTCAAGCTCGAGGAGAGCATATTCGTTACTACATCTAGATCTACTTGCTGTTTGTTTTGTTTTTTTCATTTGAGGTATTTCTTTACGAGTGAGATATTAACGTGTTAAAAAGCAATCACACCTCAATCCAAAACTAATGAAGACAAGTTTAATCACTCACTTCTACCACAGGGCGTTAAGAAGCTCATGGTGAAAGCGTATCTTATGTTTCTCCCTGTATAATGATCGAGCCATCAGTTTTTCTTTGAAACATAAATCTCAGATCTGGTCGAAATTTTACCAAAATCGGACAATAATTAGGAAAGTAACGATTAATTTGACAAAATTTCTATCTTGCCGTTTATTTTGCCGGTGAGTGTATCCAAACGACTTTTAGCACAAAAAACGATAAGTAACACGAACAATTTTTGGAGTTATCAAAATCAGGTCCTGGCTTTGATCATCCTGAATATTATTGATAATGATTCAGAATGTTTTCAAATTTGAAACAATAGATTTGAATGAGATCAAATCAAATCAGTGCAAACGACAACAAATCGAAATGAACAGCTCAAAGGACAGAGACACCATCTTAACGATGTATGCCGACTTACCTTCGCTTGAACACCTGCTCAATAAGGCCGAGGCTTGCGCCCTGGCTGCGGCCGCCATTTCCGTTTCCCCGATTTCCATGGCAATGTAATGGAGGTCCATGAAGAGGTCGTGGTGGCCGACATCCACTGCCAGAAGAAAAGCGGTTTCGAACATTTCCGCCCTGACCAGCTGGTGGAAAAATCGCCTGGTCAGAGAGACAACCTGTAATATTCGGAAAATCGAGCTGAAAAGTGGTTCACCGAAAATCTTTTCAGCTGAGCCGCCAGCACCAAAAAAATCGACTCTGCTCTAGTTTTCTCGAAATTTTTGAATGTAGAGTTGGTTTGTCTGAAAAAACACATCAGTCCTATTTTGAAGAGCAGTAAATTGTACACTTTTTGAGACAAAAATCACCTTACAGCCATTCAAATTTAGCGGTCTCGAACATTTCCGACTTGACTAGCTGGTGGAAAAACCACCTGGTCAGACATTTTTTTTATCTCTTGGAGCGCACGAAAGAAAACTCCTATCATGCTGGAAAGTGGCTCACTGGAAATCTTTTGCAGCTGAACAGAAATATGACACAAAATTTTTATATTTTCAACTAATAACCATATTGAAAATTAAGCCAGTCGGGTAGTTCTGATTTTTTGGTATAATGTATTGTAGAGGTACTATTGAAAAGCCCAAGTTTTCGACCTCACCAATGCGCCGGAAGCGCTGCCAGCGCCAAAAAACTGTGAAACTTACTACTTTGGCTCTAATTTTCTCGAAATTTTAGCATGAAGAGCTGGTTTCACTGAAAAAACACATCAGTCCTTTTTTGAAGAGCAGTAAATTGTTCAGTATATGAGATCTAAATCACTTTCCTGATCCATTCAAATTTATAGCAAATTTTCACAATTTTGAAAAGTGTTGTTAGTTTTCAGCTACCATGCGCGATTTTTCGAAGTGAAGTTTTAGTAACGCCAACTGCTAAGACTGGATTGTGATAACTTGTTATAGATAATAATATTGATAATAATGATATGAGTTTATTCAAAAACGTTTACAAAATATACATTGGAACATACAGATAGGTATTTTGAATAAACTGGGAAAAACCTTAGGAAGTGAACCTTGTAGTAAGGATAAAAAACAAATGTACATAGACAGTATTTAAATGTACATAGGTCAATAAATATTTAACAATATTGAACTATCACTAGCATTTCATTCAATCCGCATAATTATTTATATTCATATATACTCCTTCACAATTATTATTTAGATGTTTCTAATTATATTATTGAATATTAATTAAAGAGATTAAATCATTTTTAGGAGAGTCTAATATCCAGTTCCTTATTTTTATCGTATAGGATTGTAGTGATTTTGTTTTTATGATATCATTTGGAATTTTATCATATAGGTAAGGCATTGAAAATTTATAATTTCTATGTCATGGAGAAAAACTCATGAGAACACTTAGGTAATATAGATTTATTCTAATAGAAAATTACATCCATCTATCGAGAGAGTTTTATCTAGATTATACCGGGTCCTCAACAATGTGCCACGTGACCATTTTTGATACATCGTCTCTTTTCCACCCACGTCAAAGAGATACGAATGTATCCTTGGTTGCATAGTTATCTGTCACGTGGTTTTCAATCATTGTTGAAGACTCGTTACTAATAGTTATTTACATACCAAGGTAGTGAAGTATATCAGGATTACCCAGGGACCAAAGCTACCGTGGTAATAATATTCTTCACTACCGAGGTGTATATTGGAATTTTTTCACCACTAGCAATACATTTCAACCATTTTAGTTCTGTGAAACTGAAATATAGAACTATTGTCACTATGAAAGGTTTTATTTTCTACTTTAATTAAAATCTAGTAGCCTGACCATGACAGCATGACAAGTCGTTATTGATGAAAACCTACTAGATTCGAGTGCGATTCCTGCGAATCACACACAGAACAGTGAATTCAGGTAAATTACAACAGAGGTGGCTATGTCTTTATTGACTAGGGGTTCATAAAATTACGAAAACTACCTTGGTAGTAAAAACACACTTTATATGTATATATGTAATGTTGTCATCACTAACGTCATTGAAGGTTGGGAAGTGTCACATTACACACCTCTACTTCCCACCCTCACTTCCCGCCCGTCACAACTTCCCACCCTCACTTCCCGCCCGTCACAACTTCCCGCCCTCACTTCTCGCCCTCACTCATGTAATAATTCAGGTAAGTTCAGAACGAAACATAAACTTATTAATTTTGATCGAAATATGATGGTTGTAAATAAAATATAATACAAACCTCGGTAGGAAATTTCATTCCTGTCTCGAAATTATAGCTAACCTCGACGCATTGCGTCTCGATTAACTAACTAATTTCACGACAAGCATGAATCACTTCCCACCTCGGTGTGTAATATACTATTACGCCTTTAAGGTACATGTAAAGCGACAAATTTCGCGTTTCTGATCTGTCAGATGTCGCTAGTGCTCCAGGTGTTACTTGATGTATGCAACCATAATTGCCCTACTTTTGTGTTTCATAGGGTAAAAATTTTGCAGAACCCTTCCGAAATATACAGATTCCTTCGTTGTCTCTGTAAAATACATACCATTGTTGCCATAGCTGGTAATAGGTCTTAGACTTGCGATATTTTTTTGCAAATTGCATGGTATATACTGATATTGCGCGACATTATAATTATCTGATCTTTATTGTCTCCGGTGGGTGAAGGAGTAGAATTGAATTTCATATAAGCATCTATGAGAATATACATGTATATTTCGTGAGGATTCGATGCAAATAAAAAAGGCGACACATAAACACACAATAAATATAATAACAATTTCTATACATAGTGAGACGATGTGTTGTCGGAGCGCGAACGCATAGATGAAAAGATCGGCAATCGCCTTCAAGGTCATTTTCTCGGGCGCAAGGCGGCTAGGCGGAAGCTTTGACTTTGAGGTTCGAAGCGATGCGCTAATGAGCGTCGGCGTCGGCCGCCTCTTCTGTTTCGGGTATCGGGTATTTAGGAGATTTTACGAGGGTTAATTATTATTATGAATCGTTCATATTTCAGTGATAACGTTCGCTACAGGGGTGAATGGAGAAACACTAGTGTGGCTCATATACTTATTTGTTTGTATATGAATGGAATATATGGAATTGGTATGGAATGATATTTATAATATACACGGTGGTCCAAAATTGCCTTCCGATGTATTTCTGGGGGAATACATTCTTGATGACATTATTGTAATTTTTCAAGTGAAAACTTTAGGCGCGTTCAGCACTTTGTTGGGTGAGGAAAAACCAAAAAACATTGAATTTCCGTCCCGATCCGTCCGTCCGAACCCGTTCCGACCTGTCGCCGAAGTCACGACTGAACGATAATGAACATCAAAAAATCCGAAGAGTATCTTATTCCATCCTTGATTATACACTAGTGTATTTTGTAATAATTATGATCAGATTCTATTCAAAACTGGTATAGGTATCTAGGGGTTTTCGGGGATCGACGGAGATTATGATTTTTCTGTCAGAATTTGAGAATACAAGATGGCGAGCCAAGATGGCGAGCCAATATGGCACACGAGTTTTGTAATTATGGTCCGACTGTATTCATTATTGGTATCTGGGGGTTTTCGAGGTCGGAGATTATGATTGTGTCATCAAAATTTGGAAATTCAAGATGGTGGAACCAATATGGCTGACGAGTTTTGTAATTAAGATCCAATTCAAAAATATTGTATATCTGAGGTTTCCTGGATCAGAATAAATCATGATTTTACCATCAAAATTTGGAAATTTATGATGGCGGATCCAATGTGACACACGAGTTTTGTAATTATGATCCGATTCTATTCAAACCTTATATCAGGGGATTTTCGGCATCGGAAATTATGATTCCTTAGTCAAAATGAAGAAATTCAAGATGGCGGATTCAATATGGCAGATGAATTTTGTAATTATATGATATATTCAAAATTTGTATCTGAGGGTTTTTTGTACAAAATATGATGTCGAAATTGAAACAGTTTTACTTGAATCATTACGCAGTAGAGCTAGTCGATAGTTCATAGACATGAAAGGGATACTTAGGTATATGCCAATTCCATACAACTCCATCCCGAGAAATGTAAAGAAGCACACATAAGTAATTTTCTAAAAACTCATATGTCTTTGAATCAAAATCCTATCCTTTTACCATAATATGTATGTTTATGTTCGGTGGTATAACGGGCATAAAAATAATCATAATGAGGCTTCAGAAGATGAGTCATTCACTTCATGATATTCGACTTACTTTCGCGAAAAGTCATAAATCAGCCCTGAAAATTACATAGGTATATAGCTGAATTCCTGATTACATTACTCAGCCAACGAGGTGTAACAAGATGATTCTATACAGCCTGTCCCACGTGAATAATTATTTACTCGGAAACACAGAGTACAAAAATGAAAGTATATCCTGTTTTTTTGTCTCAAATCATCATTGAACGTTTCAGAATTTGCAGTTGATTCAAACTCAGTATTTTTCGAGGCAGAAAACATGAGGAGCAATACTATGAAGTTAGTTTACCTGCAAAAAATCCTAATATAATTTCATAAAATATCAACCTCTTTTCATTTCCATTGAAAGGTTCAAATGTCCAAAAGGATGTTCATCTCTGAAAAACTGATCATATTGATGATTATTGATACCGATCAGAATTTGGTGAAAATCGCAAGACTATAATAGTTGAGTTATATACCTATAGAATAGAGGAGGGGTCTGGTTTAATAAAGATCCTGTTCTTGATGAGAATCGCCTTATTTCGGAAATATTTATTATCATTATCATTACTATTATATATCATTGGTTCAGATGAACATAAATGTCTCTTATATGAGGGAGCTACAGCCCCCTGGAAGGGGGGTCCTAAATATGATATTTCTTGAATATTTCCGAAACGCCATGTGATATAATAATGCAATTCGGTACAAGAACTAAACTCTCCATCGAGCTTTCCATGCCCAATGCAGTGAAAATAAACCATTCCAAGATTTGCTCTTGTTCCGAATCAATCAGAGATGTATCATTTTCGAGGAAAATCGATCAGAAAATATTGTACCTTCTCAATACATATTCGTTTTATTGTTAATTTTTAGTGTTTTATATAATTTTATAAAAATTGTATATCGCTACTTCGATGGGAATCAACACCCCAGAAGTCGAAACTTGTGCGGGTTATGGTGAGCGAGACCTACGTGGAATTCAAACCACTTCTAGGAAATCGAGGTGCTGCTAGGCTTAAAACGAGAAATTACATATTTTTGAGAAAAATGCTCAACCTAATGCTCATTGTGAATAATCACATCAAGGGAGCATACATATGTCCATCATCAGCCTAATAAGAAATTACATAGTCCTATATACAATGAGAAAAATTAATTAAGTAACAAGAGGAATCCTTACCATAGAGATAGCTTACATGAAGATGGAAAATTTTTTATAATAACCGTAGAGAATTGAGAAACATGAAAGTTAAATGGTTAGTTGTTTTCTAGAGGAATAACCATGAAAACCTCCATAGATGGGCATTATGGTGGATAATAAAAATCTGAAGAGGCCCCTAACATTTGGGGCACTTCCATGAGCAAGTTGATGACACAATGAAGATGAAGATTATTATTTCGGATGAAATTTTCACTTCCCGGTACATGAAGTGCATGATGCATGTCCGAAAAACCAAACTTCTAATTCGAAAGGCATTTTCTTTATTACTAAAAAATTTCATCTGCGAAGCATTCATTGTTCATCACAATAATCAACTGAATTGACTTAATCTTCATATGAATATGAAATAATTCAACACGACCCATCCCCCCTTCATTAGGCCCGCGAATGTATTCAATATTCACAAGTCAAAAAGGGAAAAATGTGTCCATAGATGATTTTCTGAAGGATTTGCTAGAAACAAACAATCAGCATTTATCGGTTGTCTTTGTCTAGGCGTATTGGCAACGCTGTACGACAAATATTATGATGGTCAGACATTTTATGCGATACTCGTGGACAGTAGCGAAACTACTTCAGATTATGACTATTACCAGCAGAGGCAGCACCTGCTGGAGCGATTAATCTATTTGAGAGGAATTTGGTAAGGGGTTTTGAAAACCCTATTTTAAAATCGAATAAATCATTGTTTATGACTGAAATAGGATTCAAGTAATCCGTATTCGTTACATCTTACATGTATAATCAAAATATATCATATTTTTCTAATAATATAGATTTTACAGCAACTTTCAATGATTAATTCACTATTGTAGGAAAACTGTAAGTTCAAAAATTTTCAAAAAAATCAGGCATATTTTAATTCTTTGTTAAGAACTGCTGTGAGATTTTGACAAAAATTCATCGAACAGTTTTTGTGAAAACTAAAAAAAACCTATAAAAAAGGAGTTTTAATTTTTTTTCTCAAAATTCGTTCGATAGATTTTCATCAAAATCTTTAAGAAGTTTTCAATCAAAAACCTTGATATACCAGATTTTTTTCAAAATTTTTGAACTTGCCGTTTTTTTTCACGTGGGTTTACATGAACCTTAAAAGAAGTAAATAATGGTAGGTTTTATAGCTAGTGGTGAAAAAAATGTTTTCACTGAACCAAGCCCTGAAATGAATGGAGGACTCACCTGATTGCCGTAGCGATGTCGCACCTGCGCCTTGACAGGCACCGGGCTGTTGTGGTAGCTGCCAAGGGCCTTCTGCAGCTGCCGGGCGTTCTCTGCCGTCAGAGGTCGCCTCATCAGACAGCCTACGACCTTTTGCAGGGCCGAGAAGGCTTGTGTCTCGAATTCGCGGCTAAGCAACAGGTTGATGGCCTTGTCCGTCTCGTCGGTGTTTAAATAAGCGCGGATCAGGGCAGTGAAATTCGTAGATTTGTCGATGTGGGTCAGAATGGCGAGAGGCCCTGTGTGAAAATATTTATTTTTATGCAAGGGAAAGAAATATCCCTCAACCTCGAGCTAGAATCAACTATCTTTTCCGTCAGCGGCCGTCTCATCAGACAGCCTACGACCTTTTGCAGGGCCGAGAAGGCTTCTATCTCGAATTCGCGACTGAGCAACAGGTTGATGGCCTTGTCCATCTCGGATGTGTTTAAACAAGTGAGGTACGTAGTTTTTGGAAGGTATCAGATTAGTATAGATGTAGTTTTCATTAGGTATTAGATTAGTATAGAGGTCAGATAATTCATACGACGCTATAAAAGCAGATGATATTTTATCATTGCTCATGTAAGATGGAAGTAGAGGCCATGGCACCATATCATGAGCATATGTTTATATTGAAACTATCATTGGGCACCAAAGATGTGTATACGACGCTACGAATCCAACCACCACGGATCTAGGAAGAGGGAAATAGTGAAGATGCTTACCTAAATATATTTATTCAATTAGCTGAGGAGTTTTACTTACCAAAAAACTGAAAACTATTCAGCAGCACGAAATTAAAGGACAATCGAAACCAGAGACGCTTTCAAAGTATTTCATATTTTGTTTTATATTAGGGAATTCCAGAGCTAGGTACGTAGTATGTGGGAAACAATCAGGACAGTCGAGTGAGCTAGGTACGTAGTTTGTGTGGGAAACAATCAAGACAGTCGAGTGAGCTAGGTACGTAGTTTAATGGCGAAAAATCAAGACAGTCGAGTGAGCTAGGTAAGTGGTTTATTGGCGTAAAAATCAAGACAGTCGAATGATCTATGTACGTAGTTTATTGGCGAAAAATTAGGACAGTCTAGTGAGCTAGGTACGTAGTTTATGGGCAAAAAATTAAGACAGTCGAGTGAGCTAGGTACGTAGTTTATGGGCAAAAAATTAAGACAGTCGAGTGAGCTATGTACGTAGTTTATGGGCAAAAAATTAAGACAGTTGAGTGAGCTAGGTACGTAGTTTATGGGCAAAAAATTAAGACAGTCGAGTGAGCTATGTACGTAGTTTATTGGCGAAAAATCAAGACAGTCGAGTGAGCTAGGTACGTAGTTTATGGGCAAAAAATTAAGACAGTTGAGTGAGCTAGGTACCTAGTTTATTGGCGAAAAATAAAGACAGTCGAGTGAGCTAGGCACGTAGTTTATGAGAAAGAAATAAAGACAGTCGAGTGTGCTTTTTTTACTTTCTTTTGTTTCTTGTTTTGTTTTCTATTGGCAAGTGATTATCTAGGAACTTGTAAATTTTTTAGTTTTTTCATCGTATCTCCCGAACTATTGAATTCAGAGAAAAATGTTATACGGATTTTTTGTAGATTCTATCAAAAGGAATAATTTTGGTTCTATAACATTTTCAGATATTTTCAGTTGTTTTCGAGATATTTGGAATTATCTGAGAATAAAATTTTCAACACTTTTGTTCCATCTTAAAATCAACAAAAGGAAAATTTATTTCATGGTTCAGTGGAAGTCGATAAGCTTCATCTATCGATGATCTTTGTTTTTCAATATATCTTCATGGTACCCTATGGGTCGTTCAAATTTTTTTTTCATATTTTTTACTTTATTTCCTGTACTATTGGGTTTACAGAAAAAATTATGGGTAATAATTTGTAGGAAATGTTCCAGTGGATAACTTTGCACTTTTGATAATTTTCGATGTTTCCATTTGTTTTCGATATATATTGCATCGAAAGGATTTCAAATTTTGATGTTTTGATTTTCATTTGTTTTTCCAGTTCCCGATGGATGCACGAAAAAATGGTAATAAAATAATTTGTTGCGTCATCAAAGAGGCATACGGTGCATTTTTCAAATTAGGATTTAGTCTATTGGTTCAGGAGATATGTCGTTTTAAAGCAAACCGTGTGTTTCGGAAAATCTCCTTAAAAAACCCACTTGGAATTTCCCGACCCTGCTCAATTTCAATAGGCTTCGTCTCTCCCTGATAGAGTTTTTCTTCACAAAAAATGAAATCGATCGGACCTCTTTTGCGATTTGTAGAGTGGTTACAAGAAACTTCCGGTGAAAAATCGAAAAATCCCGGAAAAACCACCTTAGAGTTTTCCGATTTCCTTCATATTTTAATGACATGATATTGTTTTGAGTACAATAAGATGGCGAAATTTCAAGTCGATATGTCAAAGGGTTCCGGAGATATATCGATTTATGATTACCACAGAGTACAGACAGACAGACAGACCACACACAAAAACCAAAGTTGCTCAAAATTCGATGGGGATCATTTTCTTCAAAGTAACTATACCTCTATCTCGCTTAGTTTCCGAGATAGCATTTTTGGCAAGGCCGTAGTATACTCCATTATATAGGTATAGCGTCGTATAATAAGCCCATATCAGGGCGTTCAGGGCCGTAGAGGTTTTTTTTTATGTTCTGGTTCCCACGAAAAGGGATATCCAGTAATCTTCAGAGAACATCGTGAGAGCCAAGGGAAATTAGGTAGGAATTGGTGTTCTTTTTAAATTTCTGGAGGTTATATGCTTCGGGGAACACCTCCCTGAACGAGTCTTTGAGAGAAGATGTTCTGCAGGTTTCCAAAGTGACCAGGAAGAGGTGCGAAGCCTCAACTCGACGGGTTAATCTCTTGGGGACTGCCAAGGGAGGCCAGGGAGCCAAGAGAACATAGCTGGGGAGGCAAGCCATAAAGATGGAAGCTTGGCGAGTTGTCGATGTGGGTGAGAATGGCAAGAGGGAAACAGATAATTCCTAACTAAACTCAATTGATCGCCCTGTATCTTTTTCATCTTTTATCCGATTCTGATGAAATTCCGACCAAAAGTTATGGACAACTTCTATGAATTTTTGAATGAGACAACCTGTATATTATCGTATCTAATCACACTTGGGGTCTAGCTGATATGATTACAGAGATATAGGGTGTGAAAGATTGAGGTTTTTTCAACTCTAGGAATTTTTTGTGTAGAAACTATTCAACAACAACAAAATGAACTTGATTGAGTATAAATACTCGAAGGGCCACCAACCGAGGTCCTTCAGCCACAGTACAAGTTTTATATATACATTATAAAGATGATTGTTATGAAAATGACATACAGTGTGTCCCACTTACCATGCTCACCATGGGTATCTTTTTAACGGTGAGAGATACGAGGTCGGTTAAATGACACCAAATGTGGAGTTTGTCAAGGCCAACTATAATGTGAAAAAATATTTTGATAAAATCTATTCGTTTTTGTTTTATAAGCAAAAAACAGATTTTGATCATTCTCATGTCTCCTCCGTAACTTCTTTATTTATGAAAATATTCAAATAGGAATTTCACATTCTCATGGCAGTTTTTCAAAGTGATTTCGAAAAAGATATGAAATTTTTACCAACTCTTCTAGAATTTGAGATATCAGCACCAACTTTAGTTTTTCAAATGTAGGTCATAGCTCACTATGACTTAGTTGCAAACAACTTTTTTTTCTCTTCCAGATGATATGTCGCAGTAATAGTTTTGTGTTGATAACAACGGAGTTATCGTCTTTTTTTTTTTTCAAGCAATATATCTTTATAGTAATTCATACAATTAATATTGATTTTTATACAGTAGAATTTTTCAGGTACTTTCTAATTTCCTTAACGAATAACTTTTCATTTGGTATTTCCTTAAAGTCTTGTGGTATTGAATTATATACATGTATGCACCTATTCATAGGATTATTTAGTGCAACATTTGTTCGAATATTTGGAAGGTATATGTTATTTTGATTTCTTACGTTATAGTTATGTATTTCATTGAGGTTCAAGAAATTTATATTTGTTTTTTGTTTGCGATTTACTATTTTGTATGTGTGTTTACATTGCTCTAAATTTAGGATTTCATTTAGTTTATTTAATTTAATTTATACAAGAACAAAAAATTATTTGGAAGCCGCCATCTTGAATTTATAAATTTTAACAAAAAAATCATGATCTCCGACCTCAAAAACCCCTACTTACCAATTTTGAATGGAATCGGACCAAATCTTGTCCGCCATCTTGGAGCAGCCATTTTTTTTCATTACAACAAAAATTCCATAATGTATTGTCACCGGAATTATGAACACCTGCCAAATTCCAAGTTAATCGGAGTTATGGAATTTTTGTTGAAATTAAAAAAAAATGGGTGCTCCAAGATGGCGGACAAGATTAGGTCCGATTCCATTCAAAATTGGTAAGTGGGAGTTTTTGAGGTCGGAGATCATGATTTTTTTGTTACAATTTATGAATTCAAGATGGCGGCTTCCAAATAATTTTTTGTTTTTGTATAAATGACGATAACTCCGTTGTTATCAACACAAAACTATTACTGCGACATATCATCTGAAAGAGAAAAAAAAGTTATTTGTAACTAAGTCATAGTGAGCTATGACCTACATTTGAAAAACTAAAGTTGGTGCTGATATCTCAAATTCTAGAAGAGTTGGTATAAATTTCATATTTTTTTCGAAATCACTTTGAAAAACTGCCATGAGAATGTGAAATTCCTATTTGAATATTTTCATAAATAAAGAAGTTACGGAGGAGACATGAAAATGATCAAAATCTGTTTTTTGCATATAAAACAAAAACGAATAAATTTTATCAAAATATTTTTTCACATTATAGTTGGCCTTGACAAACTCCACATTTGGTGTCATTTAACCGACCTCGTATCTCTCACCGTTAAAAAGATACCCATGGTGAGCATGGTAAGTGGGACACACTGTATAACTGGTCCCTACCATGGTGGAAATGCCTACTAGGAGAAACATCGCACTATAGTCTCTCCTATAAAGTGTGCTCCGGGTGTTTGTTTTGTGTTCTTCTATGGTTCCTTCTGATACAGAATGGGGAGATGAAATTCTTGTTTTCGGCTTTCTCACTGAATTTGGAGGATAAGTGGACTTGTCTTTCTTCAATAGGCTGTACTCTCGTTGTTTCATACAGTAGTTCATTGGGTGGATTGTGGATGGGATTGTTAGGATGTCTTGCTTATTATTGGCCAAAACGGTTTTCATGTACCTATCATAACTTTCGATTCACTATCAACTGACATTTGATTGAAATAAATACAGGGTCATCAGAATTCGGAAAGTTTTCGGTAAGTCTCTTTGTCGACCTTTAATCTATCACTTTGCTTTGTGAACAAATAAACAGCTATTGATACTCGTTCAAAAATAAACGTATAACAGAATTTTTCAACCATCATTACCTTGTTCGAAAGATACAATCAAGTCCTTGGATCCCCAGTTGATCGAAGCCACACTGAAATCCGCCGTGAAATATCCGGAAAGGTTCAAGATGGCCGCCGGGGCGCCATCTTCGTTCAGGAACTGGCTTTTGACGCAGCTCAAGGCTGTGTCGAAGTACTGCAGTTGACCTCTCTCATTGGCCACGGCGACCACGGCGCCATCTTTGTGCCACGCCATCAAGGTGGGGATGAACGCTGCTTTGACCGTTCTGGTCGACCCCCTTCAGACAATATTTGCATATACCGATTGTTTATCAAATCGTTACATATTGAGCATATGAGCTACATGAAAGTATTTCAATCCAGGTATACTTGCACTATTCTACCTTATCATTTCATATCACACTATGGGGAAATGCAACAGGGGTTAATAGAATACTCATAGCACAAAAAAGGGTTGTTAGGCTGGAGAAGAAGAAACGGCACTAATCTACTAACCACTGCCCACAGAACAACAACATTCGAAAAATCTCCAACATATGCTAGTTGCAAAATATACAATAAGCTTCCGAACAATCTCAAGAGTTGCCAACCTTTGAATAAGTTCAAAAAGAAACTGAAAATGCTACTACTCTCAAAATCTTACTATTCATTACAAGAATATTTCGATGATTCTGACCGTTACCACCGAGATTAGAAGGCCAGCAGACTCTTACGTGAACAGCTCGTGACGTCACCTAAGAGAGGCCAGTGTGTTATGTTTTATCGCTTGTCGACTAAGGCGTCAGTTCGTGTTGATAATTCATCGGTGATTCACGTATGCTTTTGAAGCGGTCCCGAATTCTTTTGTTGTTTATTCATCAAAATAATTGGCGGAAAAATTACTGTTTTGTGAAATATTTTGTGCTGTGATAGGCGAAATAACAATACCTTTCAAGTGTTGTGTTCCATTTTGTCGGGGGAATTATGTGGGTGGTCCAAAAGTTCATGCTTTTAGTTTTCCGTTGGACGAGGAACTATCGAAAAAGTGGATATATGCAATTCACCGCGAGGATTTTACTCCATCTAAGTATAGTAGTAAACAGAGCTTAATTTATAATGATGAATGAATAGGAGACAATTACTCTCTCATAAAAAGTATGAGTAGAGGAAAAAGAGAAAAGCTTTGATTGTGCAGTTAGTTTTGTATTCGTATATTATATTCAACAAAATCATCTCTGAATTCGAGGAAATTTTCTTGAATTTTCATAATAAACGGGCATTTTTAACTCAATACATTCTCAAATTCCTTTCTGAAAACTGTCATTTGCCTCGTGGCAATGAATGCAGAATTCATTCCAATGATTGAATTGCAACTACCATATCAACATGTACTACAAACACTATACTTAAACACATCTGTTGACATGTCCTATACCATGTATTTAATATATATATATATATAAATATTATCTTATCTACAGTGTTTTTCAGAAAAGTGTATTGCCATTTTTTAAGGGTAAAAAGTTGAGGATATAAAAGTCCTTCAAATGAGATGCTGATATATCCCTTCAACCATGATGTGGGGGCTAAATATAATGGAGTTTGTAAAAAAAATTCAAGTGTTTAAAGTGTCTCATTCATTATGAAGGGATAGAACACTATGACTAGCTCAGTCCGCGGTGGAATGAGTTATGTTGGTGTGATTGAAGGTGGTAGAGAGATCAATGTATACTAACTTTATTACAACAAATCAACAGGCGCTGTTCATGTGATTGAATTGCGATTTTTGCCCCCTTTTGATGTGTTTCAAGCAGGTGGGTTCTCCCCTATTGACAGCAAATATTATGTATCCCAGTATTGTATCCTATACCTTGGTGATCTCCTCAGTTCACATAGAACTATTACTTGATAGAAAAAAATGGCTTATTCATTAAAAATCCGTTGATTGATTGTATACTTCCAGAAGATTGATAGTATAACTCCAGTAGGTTTCTCAAAAACCAGATGGTAGTGCCCCAAAATAGACTGAAAGATGCTTACCAGAGAACTGAATCTTATTTTAGTGTGTTACGTTCCTACTATACTTCCACATTCTAAAAACAGTACAGTTCCTGATGACTCAAAGTAGTAAACTCTGCAGGCAAGCAGACAGCAGCTAGTTAGTCAGACTCCTTGTTCAACAAGAATGAAATTAATCATACAGGGGATGAAACTTGTACCTCCAACTTGCTTGCCTTCACTTCTCAACAGAAGGGGGTCGGAAGACAACAAGCATAAATAATTGGAACGTAGAAAATGTAGAAAGCCCAAGAAAAACATGAAAACCAAGTAGCCGTAAAAAGAGATAAGCATTCGTGAATCTATTGGTATCTGGAGTGTTGAGAGTCATTATCTTTTGAACAGTACAGTTCGAATTTTGGAAACGTTCACTGGAAAGTTCTTTTCCGATTTTACACATATATCTCCAATTTGAACGTTTTTCATTTCTACGAAATTTCTGATTATTAGTAGAAAATGTTCAACTCCAAGTAAGTCAATATTGAATTGTATCAAAATCTTCTTCATATAGTGGAATTTTTGATTAGGTTGAAAATGGTCTCATCTAGGACCGAATTTGTGGAGATGACTTGAACAATTCCTTCCTTCCTTTGAAGATTCCACTTCACTTTGAGCAATATGAACTTTACCATAGATTGAATTGATAAGTTTGAACAACTACAAAATTATACATGTTCCAAGATGAAAGAATCACCTGTTACAATCCAACAAAGCCAACGAACCATCAATGCAACATATCAGAAGACGATCTTCTTGCTCGTTCAGAGCAGAGCAGCTGATCTGGGTTTGAAGAGGTACCGAGGTTACCGAAATCCTTTTCAAGTTACTACCGACCAGCTCGAAGTTGCTCAGCTCGACAGACACTGCACCTGTAGAGAAAATTGGGAGTCATCATCAGTAACTCACCAGGATGCTTCATCTATATAGATTAAAAGAAGATATATGTCAATCATTTGTACCTAACAACAACAAGACAAAAATAATGTTGAACATATGCTTTTGTAGATATAATGGAAACCAAAGGTTCATTAATGTAATAGGACCAAAAAGTTACTATAGTTTAGTCCCAAGTATCAAAATGATGAAAAACGTTATAACATTTTTAGGGCAACAGATTTACCATAGAATATTCCATAACATTGCTGTATGTAACACTACTGTACCAGTTCCTGAATTGATGAAGCCTAGAATTCTCCTGACGGTTGAATTTTCCACCTCAGCAGGTATGAGATACACCTGTTCTAGGTGATCCAGCCTTTGGCAGACTAATACTTTACATGAGCAAAGTATGTGTTCCGCGGTTTCGGTTGCATTGTTGCAAAAGCGGCAAGTGTCAGTCTCTGCCAGACCCATCTTTTTGAGGTGGTACCTCGTCAGAGGGCAGTGTTCTGTGAGATTAAAGCCTGTGATAAGCTTCAGCTTTGGTGTGCTGAGCCTGAGTAGCTTTTTGGCTCGGTTCTGCGAGTGGTTGATGAACCTTTTGGCTTGTCGTTGACCTGGAGTTGCTCCCCAGTAGGAGGACTTTTCAATTTCGTCCCATTTCCTGAGTTCTCCCTTTAGGTGACATTTGCTTCCACAAAAAGGCTCAGGACCGAAGAGTGCAGATGCTGCACCTTTCTTTGCAAGGCGATCAACTGCCTCATTTCCTTTGATTCCTTCATGCCCTTGAGCCCACATAAGTGTGAGTTTGTTGTCCTTTCCCAGTAGGCAACACTGATGATGTCAGTACTGATTAGGCCGAGTGTGTTGCCAAGCTACGTTTGAACATTCTATGAAGTTGTTCTTGAAATATCAAAGTATTTCTCGTCGAAAAACAATGTATATTTCATGTTACGCCACTACACTAATTTTCATTTATATGCACATTCAAATCGAATTACGCGAATTCATGACTATTATTCCTTTAACAGGAAAAAATGTGTTCAGAAAAGTATGTAATAAAAGGGTAATAAGTATATAATAAGTTAAGTGCCCCTTTGCTAGTTATATACTTATAGTTAGAGTTTCTTTTGTTTATTGTGCTACCTTTGGAAATTGGATATTTCCTACGTTTCAAGTAGTTTGACGAAAACTCAACATACTTACCTCTCTGAGTGACTCTTTGTTCAATAACGATCAATGTCCGATGTCTGAATTTGCTGACGACAACTTGAAGAGGTTCTCCATCGGTTTTTTTATACGCCAGCAATTCCGGATCTCTAACTCCGATCCAGTAGAGATGCAAATTGGCCCTCTGGTGGTCTGAAAAGAAAAGATCTGCATTCACTTGAAAACGATGTTGAAGAAGGAAATTAATTCATATATCATATATCATATATTCGGGTAATGGCTCGAAACGAATAGTCGCCTAGAAAGTCGTCCCCGAAAAACAAGTGTTTTAAGTGGTTCAAAAGCTATAGAATAGATTGAAAAGTGCCAAAGTGACTGACAAAGTGCTTCTGAACAGTTCTATTGAATCAAAATAATAATTTCATAATGGGAACTAGAAGTAAACAGGAATTACAAGCACTCATAAAAGATACAATAACTGAACTGCTATCCAGTGAAGTGTTCTTAAACCAGATAATAAAAACCGTATCTGAGAAGGTCGACGTGAGATTGAAAAAAATGGAAGAAGGCATAAAAACTCAAGAATTGAAAATCCATGATTTGGAACAAAAAATGGAGAACCTACAACAACAAACTAAAATGACTAATATATGTATATATGGGATTGAAGAAAAAGAAAACGAACAGCTGATTACAGAATTTCGTGAAAAAATGACCAGAATATACGTCCGGTGATCGTGAAATTTATAAACTATGACTGGAAAATCACCGTAATGAAAAATGCCAGGAGCCTGAAAAGCAAAAAAATCATCATCACCGAGGACCTCACCAAGTCACGGAGGAGACTGCTAGCGGAAGCAAAAGCTAAATTTGGTGACAAAAATTCATGGTGCTATAATGGTCAAATTTTCACCAAAATTGATAACCTCAAAAAACTAGTTAGGTTCAGTGCGGATGGAAAGTCGATTGAATGCATATAACAGCTATCTGGAATGTAATAAGTGATTTAGGGCATCGTTAAATTTTATTTAGAATTGTAATATGCTTATGCAAATAGAAGGTTAGGGGCAACTTGATCAGGTATTCTAGCTACATTTTCAATTCGCTCATTTCAATTAGGAACTTATATTCTTTTCTTTTTTCCTTATTTTCAATAAAAGGTACAATAAATGTTAGATTTTCTGGATGAACTAGAACAATATGAGGAGGAAAGGACACAAGTCTACAAAAACATCGAGGAAATAACAGTAAAAATCACGAAAGGTAAGAAACATCTCTTCAACATTCTACATCTCAACATAAGAAGCTTGAAAAAAAACTTTGATGAACTTCTTATATTATTAGAATCCATAGAAGTGAAAAATCTAGATATAATATTATTATCTGAAACTTTCATCATAGAGGATGTGAATGACTTTGTATTGGCTGACTTCAATATGTCTTATAACGGATCACAATATAATAGGAACGACGGTGTAGTTGTATACGTGAAAAAACATATTGACAATATCACATATATTGAAACTCTATCGGAAATCAATTTGTTAAAAATATCTTACAAACTGAATGATTTTACTTTCTGCATTTATGCTTCATACAGGCCTCCGGCAACAGACCTAAATCAGTACATTAATGACCTGGATCAAACTTTTGAAAACAACAGTAGGAATGATGTGGTAATATTGATGGGAGATATAAACATAAATATTGCAAACCCAACCGACAATTTAGTAAATAAATACATGTGTATGATGGCCGAACACGGTTTTTTTTCCCTACATTAACGTACCAACTAGAGAAAATGAAACAACTTCCACAATAATCGATCACATATATATAAAAATATCAAATAAAACAATAAAAAAATCAATAAAATTTGAATCTTATGTGATACATACAGATATCACTGATCATTTTTGTATAATGTTATCAACCGAAATAGATAACTATAAACAATACAATTCTTCAAACGGAAAATTAATTTCATACACAGATGAAAACAAATTAAAAAAACTCATTCAAAAAGAAAACTGGGAGGATATCATGAGTACAAACGATTCCAAGATTGCCTATGAACTATTTATTAACAAACTAAAAAAATATATGGATAGATGCACAAAAACAAAAATTATTAAAAAACAGTACGTTAAACTAAAACCATGGATCACACAGGGTCTTATCAAATCCCTCAAACACAGGGATCAATTAAAAATCAAACTGAAAAAAAATCCCACTAACGAACAAAAAATAGAATACAGGAATTATAGGAACTATTTAAATAAATTGATAAAAATAACAAAAGAATCATATTTCAAAAACAAGATAATTGAAGCCAATAACAATTCCAAAAAGATATGGAAAGAAGTTAATAATATTACAAATTACAAAAAATGCAAAAGCCCATCAGATTTTTCGAATATTATAGACAACTCAGGTAATAAACTAAATTCCGATGAAAAAAAAGCCAACTACTTCAATAACTTCTTCGTAAACATTGGCAAAAACATGGCTGATAGAATCACACGTCCCGAAAGCGTACCATCTGCGAAGCAAAAACAAATTAAAGACTCTATATTTCTAAATCCTGTAACAAACGCCGAAATTACAAACATAATATCAAACCTAAAAAATAATTCAGCTTCCGGGCCTGACGGGATCTCAGTATCTCTTCTCAAAAACCTCGGGCAATTTCTCTTGAATCCATTATGTCACATTATAAACATATGTTTCTCCACTAGCTCTATCCCAAATCAATGGAAAGAATCGACAACAACTCCAATATTCAAAACTGGCAATAAAAACCAAGCCACCAACTACCGACCTATCAGTGTTATTAATAACTTTGCTAAAATCTTCGAGAAAACAGTCAAATCGAGAATCATGGAATTCCTAGAAAAACATAAAATACTCTCACAGCACCAATTTGGATTCAGAGAAAATAGTAGCACCGATAAAGCTGTTGTCCACCTCATTGATAATATTTTGAACAACTTGAATGGAAATAAAAAGTGTCTCACCGTGTTCATAGATCTGGCCAAGGCATTCGACACCGTCAACCATGATATATTATTCAGCAGTTTAAATGATGTAGGAATAAGAGGAACTACACTGAATCTCATTCAAGATTATTTATCCGGAAGAACTCAGAAGGTGAAAATCAATAATGTGCTCAGCGATCCTTTACAAATTACTGTTGGAGTCCCACAAGGAACTGTCCTAGGTCCTATTTTATTTTTAATTTATATAAATAATATTGGAAGCATCAGAAATACAACTAGTCATGTTACATCATACGCAGACGACACAGCCATAACCTTTACACATGATTCGTGGGAAGAACTCTATAAAAACACAGAAAAAGAGCTAAAAATCTATCGTGATTGGCTAAATATAAATCTTCTAAGTTTAAATATTGAAAAAACTAAATATATTACATATACAGCTACTTCGAGAGATCAACCTGAAAACAAAGCCCTCAAAATCCACATAGACGAATGCAATAATGTTGATTGTAACTGTTCAACAATTGAAAAAGTAAATTACATAAAATATCTTGGAGTGATGGTGGACCAACATCTCCGTTGGACTGAACATATTAAGTATACTGTTAAGAGACTGAATAAATTAATATATAAATTTTATCAATTAAGAAATATTGCTAACGCAAAATTACTTTTTATGATTTACGATGCCTTGGCCGAATCGGTGATAAGATATTGTATAATCATATGGGGTGGTACAGGCAAATCCTCAATGAACATCATTCAAGTTGTTCAAAATACATTGATAAAAATTCTCTTCAAGAAGAATTGGAGATACTCAACAAAAACGCTTTATGCAGAAACAAAATTATTCGAAGTAGGAAAACTATATGTATACCATATGGACACTAAATAATCCAATAAAATTGAACACACATGCATACAATACAAGAACAACTGCCAATCTTGCTATTCATATTCCACTATATTCTAAAGGCTACATACAGAAATTCATATCCTACTATGGACCAAAATTGGTGAATATGATACCAGTACAAATTAAAAATATAAAAAATAGATACAAATTTAAAAAAGAGATAAAAAAATACATAGATATTAATTATGATTCATTTAAAATACTTTTTGACTGAAGGTCCTTTCATCCTCAAACGACAATCATCCTCAAATGTCAATAATTCTTAAAAAATACTGAAAATTGTACTTCCTTCTTACTATATAGTATAAGCAGATTGAACATGAAATATATCAAATCAATCACATCTCATAGACTGCGCACAGCACAAGCTAGGCTTAGGTGACAGTCTATGAAATATTTAAAAATATCACCATGTTTATACTATTATGTTCATGTTTATATTATTACCTGAATAAAGTTATCTATCTATCTATCTATCTAATTACCTATACATCGGAAATGGACAGTCAATATGAAAATTGGATAAACTAAATACATGACGTGAATATACTCATCAAATACAGCATAGATATAGTTTCAGGTAAATGTTGTTTTTTTATATGAATTTGAATAGAGAAAAGATGTATCCAAAGGTGTTTATGGGCGAGTGGACTGATAATGAAATTCAATTACTCAACTGTGTCGTTACGAACCTAAATCAATTTTTGCAACACTTCCCACGATTTTTTTATGTGAATAAGAAGTCTATGCATTGTTCGAAATCGTTGAATTTCTTCTCAAATGTAACGTCATGGCCGCCATTTGGCGATACGTCGAATAAATGGTGACGTCAGTTTTTGTGCTGTTTCATAATTGGTCAGATAATCTTCCATTTCCACTCATGAAGCAAGGTTGTCGTCACCAATTATAATCAAGTTATGATGTCGTTGAATAAAACATAATAGGAGGAACTCATGACATTATAGTACATTCTTGACTTTTTCGAACATCCAGCATGTCCAAATATTTCTCATTCTCCATAACAAAATATCATGTGAATGTTGGAGACTTGGCAACATTGTGCTAAATGCTGAGTCGTGCGCGGGGTTGTCACGTTCACCGATTCAAATGTCCTCTAGTGTGAATTAATATAATTATTATTCACAAATTTGATTGTGAATATAATTTTTCATGAATTGGTCACTTCATACTGCATATCATTACATTATTATAGCATTATTTTGATTTTGTTTCAAATTATCTAAATAAAAATACTGTAGTGACTATGTGAAGTCACCTGAATAAGGTGGTTATTCGCGATAGAAAATAACCTATCGGAGTTCTTGAAGGCTGTCAAAGCGGCCTGCTTACTTTATTTCCATTATTGGTTCACATTTGTTTTTTGTTTGTTCTTATTGGTCACATCATCAACCCAAACTGTTCAGAAGTGTTCAAGCTTTTGCCGTCAGGTAAAGCAACGCGTTTTTTATTTATCGCGAATGAGGTCCTTTACTTCAATTCAAGTACCATTCGGCATAAGCAACAGACACACTTGCAATTAGTATTCGTTTATATGAATCATTGAATTTTGCTTCAGAAGGATAGACTCAAACGATCAGCGTGGCATTATAGTTTCAATTATTTGAAAATTTTGTGGTATTAAATGAAGAATACAGAGATCGAAACCAACGTAATATAGAGAAAGGTCCATTGATATGACTGTATAACATAGAGATAGAGTACAATTTCTCTCGCTCACGTGAATACTACTCTCGTTTTATCTCTATTGTTTGTTGTTTTCATTAGTTGCTTCTCTCCATTTCACTTTAGATGAACCGCTTCGATTTGAAATTTCAACAAGTTCAACTAGATCGCCTTGTTGTCACGTGATTCAAGGCGCAAAACTCATTACATCTGTTTTGTTATTTTCATTTCATCTCTCAGTCTAGTCGCGATACAGTCGAGAATTTATCATTAGATTTTTGATTTATTTGGATTTATTTTCAATTGATTCGGCCGTTATTTGACGGTAATCCATAGTGAATGTAAAAAACTTCACAAACGATAAGATTTACACAAAATTCTTAATCACAGGACATGTTTTGCTAACACAGTAGCTTCTTCAGGTGAAATACTGGTACAATGAAAGTTTTGTGTACCAGCTAGTATTTCACCTGAAAAAGCTATACTGTGTTAGCAAAACAAGTCGAGTGATTAAGCATTTTCAGAAAATCTCATCGTTTGTGGAGTTTTTTCACATTTATTTAGACGATATCTCCTGAGATGGTAAAAAAAAGCAGAGGCACAATATGATGATATTTCAAGGGCATTTTTACACTTTTTTCATTTGTCAGAGCTGTACATAATGTTTCACTAATCACCTTTAGCCAGTGGACTCCAAGGTTGCGGGTGTTCAGCTCCAGCTTTTCCCCACACAGCCAACCATTCCCCGTGATAGTTGAGCTTCCTTCTGGGGCCCCCTTCCAATACCCAGCCGTCCCTCCATTGGCCGCCATATCCCAGCACGTGACCGTCGTTGCACACGCAGATCACGTGGTTGCCGAATACCACACCTGGAATTTATCCCTTTCGATCTATACCTTTTCAACTTCAATTTCGGAATCGGTGAGTTGCATTTTAGATAAAGTCCATTCAATTTTAGAAATGGTAAGTTGTATTTCAGAGTTTGTAGGTTCAATTTCAGAAAATAAATCCTTTTGTTTGTTTGAAATATTTCCAATTGCATGTGTGATTAACAAACCATATTACAATATTCAACTGTTCAAGGATAGTAGCGTTGCACATGATTATAAGAATGCAAACACATTTGAGGTGTTATCATTTTCATTGAATGATCTGCACATTCTTCAAGACATCGCAGTCTGAATTCTATCTGGTTGAGCAATCTGTTCGGATCCAGCTATGACCCTTTGGCGATGCTCTTGAAAATGCTCTCCACTTCTGACTTGAAGGCACTCCATATATGTTCAATCGAATTTAACATAAGGTGCCAATCTGCAAAATATAACATTCCTCCATGCATATCTCTTCTATTTGGTATCTGCAGGATGTCCATTAAACAATCTTCTCTTTTGCAATTGAGAACATTTCAAACATATATAAGGATTCATCTTCTGAAAATGAACCTACCAATTCTGAAATGAAACTTACCATTTCTGAAATTCATCTCACCGATTCTGAAATTACGTTTACCATTTCTGAAATCGAACTAACCAATTCTGAAATCGAGATTACTTTTTCCGAAATATAACACCGATTCCGAAATTGAAGTTGAAAAGGTATGGACGGGATATTTTGTTGGAAAAATACTGTTTGATTCATAACTTCGTTGCATAATGCAATATTTTGTTATTGAAAAGGTGAGTATGTATACCGGGTGTCCCAGATCTTGTAGGCAGCAAATATTTGATGGATCATAACATTTGTGTCACAAAAAATTATGGGATATAGAGCTCTGCTAAATGGTGGGATTAAATCACCCTTGTGACACACAATCTACTAGAACTACTTTAGTTTTTCAAATCGCACCGTCATGTTTTTTCTTCGGTTTTTCTTATAGAGCTTCTCATTCTTGATTCGTCTATACATCACGATTGATGTACAGCGGTACTCTAATGATAAAGAAGTAGGTAAATGATTTTGCAAGCTTGGTATAGTGTTATACCCAGTTATTCCTTGTAAAATCAGAGCAACACATGAAGTCTGAATAGATGATATAAGGTGAGTGTAGCGAGTGATAACAGTCATTTCAATCATTCAAGGAAAAATAAATAATAATAATAATAAATGCTCTTTATGCACTAGCGGGCCGTGAAGTTCACTTTACCGCCCGGTTTTGTGGGCGTTAAGTCGCACTTTACCGCCCGCGGGCTCATTATGGCCCACGGGCCGTAATGTGCACTTTACCGCCCGCTGTTCTCAGTCACCTTATATCCACATATCAATTCATGAAAAACCTATGATCATATTCCTAGATTCTAATATATCCAGCGGTATATCATAAACTTCTTCTTTATCCGATTCCATAGTCTCGCTATTATTATTATCACTAATTTTACTTTTCAGTCAAAGAATGACAATTCAGTTCGGTTATTGCTATAGTAGTAGTAGTATAGTATTGCTATAGACAACAACCATCAGATTGATTGACAACGTCAAAATAAGTTAGGTTTATATACTGGGTATGCATATTGTAAATTCTGAAGAATGAATCTTTTCTAGAGCTGAAAGAGTTTTACTATTACGATAATTGCAATATTCGTACGATAATTTTCATATGTAAATCATCCATGAACATTACGCTTCTCTTGATTAATGAATTTATACGTAACAAATTAATTCTGGGGAATATTAGTTTATCGGAATCTATAGTCATTACTTATGAGTCAGAAAATGAACCACTAGTGCATCAAATGTTGTATGCTAGCGCCATCGGGCCATTATTCACGCCACAGGCCATTAACGCCTACTTTACGCCCATGATAAATAAATAACTATTATTGGTTATAAATTACAACCAAATGGCCATCGACCGAGGTCCTGCAGCCAGTAAATTTTGACATGGGTGGTATTTTAATAATTTCAATGTAAATGACAAATGTGAGTTTGTAAAACTAAGTTGAACAAAAAAAAATGATATAAATTCATGAAAATCTTGAGATAAATCAAATGTCCACCTGATCTTCACTCAATGATGTAAGAATGTCTTGTATTGTTCTTTCCGGGAATTCGAATTTTTTTCTTGGAATTAGGTGGGGAATTATAAGCTCCATGTTGCTGGTCTTGAGGGCGATTTTTTGGGATAACTTCCTCAGTCGTTCTTGTATTGGTCCTATTCTATTTTGGTTGTACAAATATTCTATTCTATTCATATTCTAGTAATTGTGCGGAGGGATGACGTTTCTGCAGTTTTTAAATTCTGCATGATAGGATTTCTGCAGTTGACATGTATTGTATGTCCGTAGTCCAGCAAAGGTCTGCATCTGGATTTATAAATCATTGCCGCTGCTGCGACGTTGATGCTATTATTTTTGTAAGTGAGCCTTGAAATATTTTGCTCTCGATTTTATTTTTTGCTAACAAATTTTGGAGTGATATTTGAAATTCAGTTTATTGTCCAGATGAACTCCAAGGTACTTCACGGTGTTGATGGGGTTGATCTCAGATCGTAGATCTCCGCCAGTGTTGTCAAGTCAGGAATGAAATAAAAGGTAGACTCGGCATGAAAAAGCAGTTCTTGCCAACTACTAACTAACTAACAGCAGTAAGAGATTATATTGAAGTATTAGTGGATATTTAGGTCTTAAAAACATGCGCGATTTTTTTAAATAAAGCAAGTTTAAAGACCAGTATGTATAAATACTTCATACCTCGCTTTATACTATAGTTATTTTCTTATTGGTACACTTTGAGATCATAAATAAAGAAATAATACATATGTCAGTGATATTTTATTATTTAATTCGACGTTAAATGCCGTGTGATGCATGGACTGATAATGAATTATTGGCATTCAATTAGTCCAGTGTCGTTAGGAACCTAAATTAATTTTTGCAACACTTCTCACGCTTTTTTTACATAATGTGTTTATGCGTTTTTCGAAATCGTTGAATTTCACAGCTCATTTCAAACGAACCGTCATGGCCGTAATTTGGTAATACGTCGAATAAATTGTAAGGTCAGTCTTTATGCTGTTTAGTTATTGGTCAGATAATCTTCTATTTTCGATCATAAGCAAGGTTGTCAAGTCTCCAATTATCATCAAGTGATCAAAGAGATCTTGGAGTCCAGTCGTTGAATAAAACAGAATAGGAGGAACCCATGATATTATACAGTCTGTTCAAGATAAGGTTGAACAGCATGGGGATCTCCAAAACGGTAGGAGATACGAAGTCGGTTAAATAGGGAAAAAGTTGCGCATTCGGAGGCTCATATCAAGAGCCTTCAAAAATTTTCAAAATTATTCTTAGTTTTTTAGTTATATCGAAAAAGGTGAATTTTTGGGATATCTATTTTATTTTTTTTATCCGTTATTATTAGGGATACAGAAATACTGAAAATATTTTTTCATAGCAACTTTTGATGACGTTCAACGTGGTGATATGAATTTTTTCATGCGACGTTTCGTATTCGTAGAACCATCATCAACTTTTATTTTTTTAATACGGTCCTGATAATTTTTTCACAGATTCTGAAAGGTTTTTTCATTCTGAATCCAACCATGTATTATACAAGGTGGTTCATGTGTGTTTCGACCAATTTTTAACCATCATCAATGTTTTTTCGAAATTCCAAAGGAAAAATGCCATCAGTTCCACTTATTTTGTAGAAAAATCAGTCAACATACTAATACCTCATCGACTGGTTTCAATCAACAACCTTTTTCATTCTGCGGAAACAAAAATTCCATCCATACAAATTCAAAATATGTCAAGCGCTAAAACCAGGCGATGACGAAATGCGCAGGACATTCTGTGAGTGGTATACCAGGAAATGTCGAAATTTTGCAAATTTTCCGCGAACAATCATCTGGACTGATGAAAGCATGGTCACTAATTATGGTATTTTCGATAGAAAAAATACACATTGTTCACGAGAAAATGAACATTTATGCATTACAGCGAGACACCAACACCGTTTCATATGTGAGTTGCAATATTTGGTACACGAATTATTGGTCCTTTCATTCACCATGAAACAGAGACTTCCTAACTTTATAGAAATTTGCTTGAAAATCATCTTGAGGAAGCTCTGGATGATTTACCGATTGCGGAAGTTCAGAACTGTTGGTTTCAAAAAGATGGCGCTCCGGTACATAATTCCAGAGAAGTTCGTGCGTTTTAATCCAGAAAAATGGATTGTACTCATTTTCCAGTACTTTGGCCGGCGCGGTCACCTGATTTGACACAACTGGATTTTTTTAGGGGATTTATCAAAAACTTTGTACAGGCAGATAGCTTTGATGATGAAGAAGAACTGAGGGACAGTGTCATCGAAGCATTCAATAGAATATCCCCAGAAATGCTTAGTATAGAAGCAACTGTGAGAAGAGGATATCTTCGTTCAGAAAATGATGGTTATCATTTTGAACATTTCTTATGAATGTTTCTGTAGGTATTGTCAAAGTCACGTTGTTAAAGTAATTCGTGTAAGAATTCATCAACAATTTTAAGCGCTGCATTGAATGATGTAGTGAAATATTTTTTATCCACTTCTCAGTATTGAATAACTAATCCATCAATGTTTGACACTAAATGATCAGAAATAAATGGAACTGATGGCACCGAGGATGGCACTTTTCCTTTGGAAAAAACATTGATGATGGATAGAAATAGGTCGAAACACATTTGAATCACCTTGTATAATGCATGGTTGAATTCAGAATTAAAAAATCTTTCAGAATCTGTGAAAAAATTATCAGGACCGTATTCGAAAAACAAAAGTTGATGATGGTTCTACGGATATGACACGTCGCATAAAAAAATTGGTATCACCACGTTAAACGTCATCAAAAGTTGCTATGGAAAAGTATTTCCAGTTTTTCTGTATCTCTAATAATAACGGAGAAAAAAAATTAAATAGAAATTCCAAAAATTCCTTTTTCTCGATATAACTAAAAAACTAAGAATAATTTTAAAAATTTCCGAAGGCTCTTGATATGAGCCTCCGAATGCGCAACTTTTTCCCCATTTAACTGACTCCGTATCTCCTACCGTTTGCGAGATCCCCATGCTGTTCAACCTTATCTTGGACAGACTGTAGTTCATTCTTGACTTTTTCCAGCAACCAATATTTCTTATTCTCCATAACAAAATATCATGTGAATGTTGGAGACTTAACATCGTGCTGGCTGCTGGAAACTGACGAGACCACGCCCACAATTCGTGCGCTGTTGTCACGTTCACCGATTCAAATGTCCTCTAGTGTGAATTAATATAATTATTATTTACACAAATTTATTATAAGCAATAAACCACAAATCATAAGGGAACATTTCGAGACAATTGAATTTTTATGGCTTATTAGGAATGTAACCAATACTTGATTGTGAATTCACGAATTATTGAATAACTATTATTTTTGGAGTTCCAAATCGTATGTCAACACATGGCAGCGATGGTCAGCCCCTACTTACGAAATTGTGGCATCAGTTTTTACTGGCGGTAAATTTCTAGCAGTTTGAAAACTACAGTGGCATCATTGGAAATATTAGCACCTGAAAATTCTATTCTATTCTATTAAAAAAAAATTTAGTCTACTTGCCTATTTCATCAAAGAACGCGCGTATTTTAATGTTGGAATTAAACAGGTGGAACAACACTGAAGCGTTCTTTGAATAAGCAAAATAGGGTACCAATAAAAAAAATAATAGTAATCATTAGTTGAGTAAGAACTCACATGAAATAATGAAGCTTCAAAAAAGATAACTGCCATGAATTTTGATTGATTACCGACGATTCCTAGAGGATTCACCGGATTAACCATGTTGCCAAATGCCGGTCTTCCCTAATACTCCTATGGAGACTCCTATATTATGTAACAACTAGATGAACAATGTGTATCATTATGTAACAACTGGATGAACAATGTTAATCAATCATATTTGATTAACATTAATCAAAGTCCAGATCAAAGCATAGAAGAATTATTATAGGATGATGCTTTGCTTTGTTCATTGTTGAGGTGTTTATGTCAGAAGTAAAGTTTTTTAAACTACCCTCTAAAGACCTAAAGAGAAGCAAAGCATACTTTATATCATTAAATATAGACTAACATGTATACATAGGTATACCGGGTGTCTCAAATTATCGTTTACAGGCAATATCTCGCTTATTTGACAGGATAATTGAAAAAATCAAAAACTGCAGTGAATGGCATTGAAGTTTCTTCCTAATGACATATAAAACAATCAATTACACTTGACAGTTCTCTGACAGCTACCTCTTTATTTTCAAATGGCACCCCCAGTATATTGTCATTGGAAATTACTTGTCATTCAATTTGGAATACAATGATAGTATTGGTATTTTTTTAATATACAGGGTGTTTCAAAAAAACCTGACCCCCTTACTAGGGTAGGTAGATCACTGCAAAATAAGTTGGGTTTACTAAAGTAAAAAAATTTCGTGACGGCATCCGTTATCAAGATACAAGGTGTTGAAAAAATAATTTTTTTACACACTTTTCAAGATTATGTCGAAACTACTAGCAACATTGTGATGAAATATTGTATGGATGTTTGTTGGAGTCTGACACATCGCATGCATTTGTTTTTATATCTGACTCTCATAGAGAGCGCTAGTTACACGGTACGTACCGAGTAGTTTTGAACATAACCTTTTTGAGGTTAGATTTTTCAATCCAAATTTGATGTGAACTTGAACATCATTCAATTTCACACCAAAAAGGTACTCTTGGTGAAACTTGATACTGTGTTCCGTTTTCGGAATATTCCGATTTGAAAATGATGAAGTGATAACTGTTGCTGTTATAAAGCTATGTATTAGAGTATTATGAAAAATTAACACCTATTTATTGAAAACCGAAAACAACAATACATTTTCGATGCTAAACTAATTGATTCAACAATGAATCACAAGAATAACTTCGAAACAGATTTGACTAAGAACATGGATCACACAGTTTTATTGTATCTTGAGCAGAAAGTTTATGCTACATAGGTAAATTCACGTCAAGAGTTGAAAGACATAATTGAACATCACTAGAATGACCTAACAGCTGATCCTCAACTGTTAAGAAGAATAATACATTCTCAAAAAAAGAATATACAATCGTTTTTTCTTCGAAACGTAGGACATTTTGAACACTTACTCTAACTGATTCAATATTTCATGTATCGAGTCAAATATATCTCAATTTTCTACTCATAATTCTTTGTTTCATCAATAACTTCAGCACAAGAATAATTTTTTTGTCTTTGAATCTGAATAAATAGGTAATTGAACTCAATGAAATTCATTTTATACCAGCATCATAACTACTCCATTATTTTCAAATCGAAATATTCCGAAAACGGAACATAGTATCGAGTTCCACCAAGAGTACCTTTTTGGTGTAAAATTGAATGATGTTCAAGTTCATATTATATTTGTATTGAAAACTCTCACCTCAAAAAAGTTATGTTCTAAACTACTCGGTACGAACCGTGTAACTAGCGCCCTCTATGAGAGTCAGATATAAAAACAAATTCATGCGTTGTGTCAGATTTCAAGAATCAACCATACAAAATTTCATTACAATGTTGCCAGTACTTTCGACATAATCATTAAAAATGTGTAAAAAACTAATTTTTTCAACACCTTGTATCATGAAAACGGATGCCGTTACGACATCATTTCACTGAGCAAACCCAACTTATCTTGCAGTGTTTTACCTACCCTAGCAAGGGGGTCAGGTTTTTTTGAAACACCCTGTATATCAACATTTTGTGATTTGTTTCACTTAATTGTCCTAATGAAAATGAAAAATTGCCCTTGCTCATGTTTTTTGTTTCAAAAAGCCGATGCCTTTCAAGTCAAAATAATTTTAAGCACATGCTGTGATTTTTAGTTCATTTTTTGATTTGCTGTATAAGATTGTTAAAATTCATACTTCATTGAATGTTGCTGTTTTTGTTGTAATAATACAAAAATACCAAGTATATGATATCCTTGTATTCTCTATAGGATGACAGACAATTTTCAATGATAATATACAGGGGGTGCTATTTGAAAATAAAAAGTGGGGGGTAGCTGCTAGAGAACTGTTAAATGTAATAGATTTTTTATATGTTATTAGGAAGGTACTTCAATGTCATTCAATGCAGTTTTTTAATTTTTCAATGATCTTGTCAAATAAGCCAGATATTGCCTGTATATGATATCTTGGGACACCTGCTATAGCTTTGGAGTTATGATAAACACATTTAACTGTTAACAGCAGACATTTGTAATGTGAGAAATTCACAATTATTACAAAGAACTCAAAATAGGTCACAAGGCATAATCAAAGTAGTAATAGATGCTGAACTTTGTCTTTGAAGCTTTAGTTCCTAGGTTTTTCAAATGAAATGGTGATTTATTCCATAACTTCTTGGGTTAAATGAAAAAAAATTGCCAGGATGTAGTAGAAAATGATCAAGATAGCTATGTAAAGTCAAGAAATTGGTAAGTGATGTATATTTAGTGGAAAATCCATTCAGAAAAAAGCTAAAGTGAAAGAAAGATAAAAAATATATTATTCCACTCAAAAACATAAGGTTGAATTGTTTTCTGTGTTTTTGTTAATGTTTTTAAAAATATGATATTAAAGCAATTCATAGTTATTCTCCAACTTTTCAAACTATTGAATTTGATATTTAATTCTTTGAAAGCAGAGAAAATGAAAATATATAGCTCAGTGGAGTTGTAACATGTGGCATTTTTTTATATACCTGTATTTGTGAGATTTCAACATTTGTATGGTGCAAAGAAATAAGATATAGGTATAAAACATTGTGGATGAAAGGGAATAACACCATAGGGATGTGTACCAGAAAATTAGATAGAATATGAAGGGATATTTCAGTTATTAAGCTGAAATAAATCAATCATTCAAATTTTCTAATGGTTCCAATTTAATAATTTAACATAGAGGTATCATGGAAAGACTTATTTGTTTCAGAAACCTCACAAATTGAGAGAATTCAACAAAGGGACATATAAATGAGCAAAATATTTTTTAATATCAGGATTTGAAGAGAAAATTAAAACAGAGACATAAAGGCAGAACATAGTTCTCCAATGCTTCTGACAAAATTTTGAACATCTCCATGGAATAAGTATCTAGACAAATAGTGAGTAGTAAATTTTTTTAAATAATACCTCTCCTATGCTTAGTGCAAAATTGGAGAGATAAGTAGCTGATTACAGGTATTAATGCTACTCAACTAACTCAAATTATGTCATCTATACTAGTGCCAATGACTATTTTGTCAAATTACAGATTTATTCTCATACCATCACAAATTATATTGACCTGAAGTCTTCCAGATAACTGTTTATCAAAAGAGATATTGGTCAGGTCTCCTGTTCTGTGATTTATTGTCAGATTCACCAATAATCCTGTTGAAAGTAACAAGCAGAGTTTAGATTCCTCCCATGTGTAAGACACTATCCTGTTATGAATGAGGAACTCTTCAAGTTCTTTCAGCCTGTCTCTCAACCTCTGGGGCCTTTTGTTTGGTAAGTTCCACAACAATCCTCGTTGTTCACAGTAAAGTTTCTTGCTCTGCCTGGCTAGTGTTTCATTCCCCTCTTTCTTTGAATAGTACCTGGAAAAGTATAAGCATCCAAATAATATCCAATTGATTATGAATATGATTTTAATGCTCACTTGAAAGATCCATAGTCAATATCTTTAATAGCCACATCTTCTTGGGTAGTCCAAAAATGCAGTTCACTCAGATTAGTAACCATATCATCAGGTTACTTTGTTGTTTCAGGAGATTCACATACTCAAGATTTTTCTGCTAGGGTTTGTCGGGGGATTTCTTCGATATTTTTCATCAATATATTCAATCATCCAATAATAAAAGTATAATATAAATAATAAAAATATAGAATAAACAAATCCCAAACAAAAGTTTATTCACCTAACATAACCCTAACCTAATTCACATGTCAACGGCAACATAAACAAACTAGTTGTGGTTATATTTCCGTTGGAGGCACTGTACTAAGAGAATTTGTTTTCACCTCATGTGCGATCATTCGATCAACGTATTGACATTGACCAGAGATCAGTCACCCTGATCTCTGGTATTGACTGTATTGACCAACCAGAACGATGACTGAGATGTTTATAAGCAATATGGTGTTTGCACTCCGCTACGCGTCGGGAGACACCACATCCTGGAGCTAAAATCAACTACTTTTTTCCCTTGTTAAATAATAACTATTTGATGGGAATGAAGTCGTGAAAAGAAAAAAGTGATTAACCAATAATAGAACATATATGGAATTAGGTCATATCATAATAATGATGAGAAAACATTGATTGCAGTGAGAACAATTCCTTGTAATAAGTTGTTTTTGAAGGACACACAGGATGCTCTCGTTGATCATAATTTTTGTAGAAAAATGTTTGGGTGGCGAAAATATTATATAATTTCAGTTATAAAATTCCAGTTCAGATTGATCGCTAATATATCTATGGTGGTTTGGAGTAAACCAGTAAACTGATAGCAGATCATATATGATCAAAATCATCTTTATTCTGCACTCACGGCAAAGAAATTGGCCACCTGTGGCACCTGGAATAGAGTTATCTCCTTCTCTTCTAACAGAACAAAAGCTAACTGGAAAATTAGCACTGTATCACTGTTTCCTGGAATATTTAAGCTTAGCCAATATTTCTCACCTTCTCACCACAGACAATTCAGTTTTTCATTCAGATTTCAGTATTCCTCAAAAATACTAGTGATAATTAAAAACTCAAATAAGTATTCCTTAATTTTTGTGGTTCATTGCTGAGCTAAGGTTGTGGTTGTGATTATCAGCATCCTGAGCATCGTTAAAACGACGGTATACGGTCTTCTAAAGTTTGCTAGAGTTCACTTCTGTTCTGTTGTCAAGTTGTCCATGTCATTTGTCAATTTGTTTGTTTATTTCAAAAAAATTCAAAGCAGGAATTGAAATAAGTATTGTTAATTAGTCAAAAAATGGTGAGTAAACTCGTTTGTTTGTAATTCGAGGTTCCTACCTAACTTATCAGGCATTCATCTCAACATTTTCAGTCGGCATCCAACACTACCAAAAAACCAGCAACTAGCGCTCCCCGAAAAAAGTCCGGCCCCAAATTCGAACTAACCGAAGAACAGAAGAACGACATAAGAGAAGCATTCGACTTGTTTGATAGCGAAGGCACCGGACGAATAGACGCCAAAGATCTTAAAGTAGCAATCCGAGCCTTGGGATTTGAACCAAAAAAGGAAGAAATCAAAAAAATGATCGCCGACATCGACAAAGAAGGAACTGGAAAAATATCCTTTGACGATTTTCTGCAATTAATGTCCATCAAGATGGCCGAAAAAGACTCCAAAGAGGAGATTATGAAGGCCTTCAGGTTATTTGATGATGATGAAACAGGGAAAATAAGCTTCAAGAACCTCAAACGGGTGGCCAAGGAACTAGGTGAGAATTTGACTGATGAAGAGCTGCAAGAAATGATTGATGAAGCTGATCGTGATGGTGATGGGGAAATAAATCAGGATGAGTTTCTCAGGATAATGAAGAAAACTAGTTTGTACTGAGTTCCTAACTTCTCACTAGGACAACTAAAATGCTAAATTTCAGTATTCTTCAGCCCTGTTCCTCAATCTGATGTTTTGAAAATGATAGGATCAGAAATTTTCTGACTGATTTTTACACCTGGTTTATATCACAGTACAGTCAGTAGTTTTGAAAATACTGCACACACCATCACATAAGATCAATATCAATAACTGACATGGGTTCAGATCTTGTCATGAAGTATTCAATACTGTTCCTAAGCTCTTATCATTTTGTATTCAGAGAAAACCCAAAATTTCTTCTTGAGTAGGTGGTACAAATAAATGTTCCAAATATTGATCTGATGCCAGTTCTAAGAAATATTTTTTATAGAAGTTCATTGAATCAATGACTGTTGAATGATTGTGTTTTGATGTGGTTATTTTTTTTTTTTCATCCAGTTATTCTTCCATCTTTTCATGAGTGCACATGATTTGTTGAGTGTTCTGTTCACAATGTTCCTATATCTGTTTTTTTGCACTGCCTGTGGAAAATAATATATTGAAAAAATAAAGTTGAATCTCATTTTGTAGTTTCATGTGATTTTTATACCATGATTCATAAATTTCCCACAGCTGAAAACTGAATGACAAACTTCATCAATTCATCCGTCTGAAAATGTTCATATTTTTGCATAATTGAATTGACATTGATTCACATTGGGACAGGTTAACAACAATAATTATTTTCAATTATCATTGACGAAACCGCAAAGCCAAGTAACTGCAAAAACCAAAATTTTCAGGAGACAATAAAAACTTTATAATTTGGGGTTAACTGATCAGATTCAATAAAAAAATAGTAACAAACCACCTGATTATTATTATCCTTATGTTTGTACATTGATCATTGAAAAAAGTCATTGTTCACCTTTGTCAGCATAAGATACTTGGTTTTGACATCTGCTTCTGTGTAAAAGCAACAACAAATATTCAGAAAAGTAATTCACAAAAACACATAACTTCATTTTTCTGGACTTTCTGCTTAACAAATACTTGAGATAAATGTTCACATCCTGTGTTGAAATAGCAATTGAAGTTGAGAATAAACTGTTTTACATATCTGTTCTATGAAAAGTCACTCACCAATTAGCAGAGATTGATCTCTGTGAAAAGAAATTGAACACAAAATATCAGAGGCATGAATCAGGTTGCCAACTGTTAGATACTTGTTTTTGACAGGACCCCTTTTATTTTGTTTTTCAGATATGGGGTTTTGTATTTATGTATTTTAAAATATTCACAATTTTTTACCAGTTGTGAGGTTTTGCATATGCATCCCCACCAATATGATTGATTGCTGCCAGAATCCCATTTTAGAATTTTTCTCAGTAACTTGGTTTTGCGGTTTCGTCGACGTTATGTTTCTTTTAGAGATCTCTGAAATAAGACACCTCTTTTATATTTCAATTTTTTTTTTCAATAAACCCAAAAATGTTTCCCAAATATAACAGATCTCTTCAAGTATATTACCAATGTATTATAATTCATACACACTTCTTCATGATGATTACTTATGGTTAAACAAAAAACAGGAAATAATAATTCATATTTTGATTTTGAATAATTCCATCATTATAATATAAAAAAGTTATAAAATCATCAAAATATATATACCTGATCCAAAAATAAGTGAATAGAAGAAATTGAATAGGTTCTTCTGCTATACATTTTTACTGTCAGCCATACTTCCACCTTAAAAATATCTATTTCTCAAGGAAATTATTGAAAAACGAATTAAATACTTTCTTTTCAAAATTCCAAAGGAAATTTCACACCAAACCCTTTTGAACAATTTAAAGCCTGAATTTCGTATCATTACCATAGCAACTAAACAAATTTTTAGGATTTTTTTTCCTCCTTGGGAAACGGAACATGAAATTACACTGGAAATGTTTTGACGTTTATAGGTTGAATGACATTTACATTCAACTTCAGATTATTTCGAGTTCATTCTATAAGTCAATAAATAAAAATCATTCATCAACAGTTTACCATATGATATTATGTAGGTATACTTGCAATATAATATTTCAGTGTGAAATTTTCTTAAGGAATACCTCTTCAGCTTCAATTAATAGGTATCCGGGAATTTTTTCTCCAACACAAATATTTTAAAAATTATCTCCCCTCGTCTATCACTCAGGAGAATTTTTTAAAATATTCATGTTCTCAAAACAATTTCCGGAAATAATTGAAGCTCTCCTGATATGATAAGTGCATATATTTGATTCAGGTCTATAATGCCAATATAACTAATGGTGAACTTGACCAAGTCAATTGAAAATTCAAATTATTGAGGAGGCACTCTGTTTTTGACAGACCCATCCTCCATGCCGAAATACGCCACCTCGGCCATTTTGACGAACAATCCAGTCTCGACGACTCCCGGGATCAACACCAGTTCTGTGTTGATTTTGCCCCAGTCGGAGTCCTGCTTGTATTCCCTCCAGTCCAATATGAAATTCCCATTGTCAGTGACCACTGGTCCAGCCTTTGCCACTGCCATGCGCAGCTCTGCATTGCCCCCATAGATTTTTTCTATCCTATTCTTGATTGGTACATAAGCCATCGGGGCAACTTCGATTGGTATCCCTATGAAAGATCAGCTATAATGGACCAACTTACACATCATTATATATCTGTGTCATACATACAAATACTTTATTCATCACTGGAAACTTTTGTACAGATTATGAGAATATAAAATATACAAGAAGCTCATTGGACTAGTCAAATTTAAAATATACAATAAAATAAGTAGGTAGTTCAACAGTTATTCAGTAACATTACTAGTTAATACAGGTAGGTATACACAATTGACACAATTCATTACAGTTATCTAAAATTATTCACATTGCTAAAAATTCATCTGTACACTAAAATGCATTGCTTAAGAAATATGCTGTTAGCTCATCTTTAATTTTGGTTTTATTTTCTTTGTCGCCAAAGAGATTTTGGAATTTGTTATAAAATTTTATTTGTTGATAGGTGTGAGAGTTTTGACTGACTGCGAGTCTGGAATAAGACTGATGTAGCTGATTACGACCACATGTTGCATAACTATGAACATCACGATTTTTTGTTACAAATTTATTATTCATTATATATTTGATCAAGAGATATACATAGAGTGACGGTAGAGTCATGATCCCCAATTCAACAAATACTGTTCTGCAGGAGACACTATGGTAGATTTCCTTCATGCATGGTACAATTCTCTTTTGAAGAATGAAAACTTTATTGAAATGAGCTGAGGCCCCCCAAAAAATAAGTCTATAGGACAGTATTGACTGTACCAGACCAAAATACGCAATTCTCAAAACATCCATCAATACAGTGTTTTTTAATTGTCTGATGAGGAAACAAGCAGAACTCAATTTGCAAACTATGCTATCAATATGAATTTCTGATGTCATGTTTTATATAGTCACTGCAATAATACTAGCCCCAATCTTTGCCTTCAAAGTAATTTTGATATTTATGCATCAGTCTTAAGCTTATAACAATATATTTATACTGGGTAAAAATGTAGGCACTTACACAATACGTATTGTGATTTATTGATATCCTGATTTATTATGATTTATTATTCATGTTCACTTACTACACATAGTTGTGTAGTAGTTCATAGATATTTATTATTTTTTTATTATGTTCTTCCTCATACCAGAACTTGTTCTGACTGAAAGATATGTTTGATAAATAAATAAAAATAAATGAATAAATATGTTTAAATGTAGTTTTGACCATGAGCATAAAAGTTGAAATTCACTAAATTTGATGTCACCTTCAAGATTGAATAAGCACCATCAATATACAATACATATGAACCACAGCTGGAATATTTACTAGTGCAGTACCTGTCAACTGTGAGTAATGTCTCTTGAAGTTTTGATAGACTTAAAAACATCACATTTACCTCTTCTTATGCCATACTATGCAATTCTTATTTTTTCTAGATTGAAAATAGGATAGATTATTTTACCTTCAAACAGTATAACATCATTTATTGGTTGAAAATTCAAATAATTATTTATCTGAAATAGCATGAAACATAATATATTGAATCCAATCAGAATCAAGTTTTATTAACTAGCTTTGAAAGGGTTGGGATATATGTTCAAATTTTCTTAAAATGCAATTTTCTCTAGAAACAGTACAAGATATTGATTAAAATAAATTATACTAAAATTTTGTTAAAAAAAGATGAAGAATTCAAACAGGGAAGCAAAATGTCAAATTTTTTAACACTGTCAAAAATGCCTTCATCAAAGGGAAACAATTCTTCCCATCCTGTATAAAACATATAATCACTGAAGAGCCAATTATATATACCATGGAAACCATTTGAAAGTTATACATGAAATGTATTTTTTCTTCTCAAAATTTCAAGGTCAATAACTCCCTAAGGAGGTATGGTAGCAATTTTTTTATATGAAGTAAAAGTACATTTACGATATGGCATTTCCGGACACCCTGTATAAATATACCTTTCTTGTATTGGTCTCCAAGTCTTTTGGAATCTTTGGTGTAGTCAGCTACAATCACCAGCTTCTTAGAACAGCTAGCCACAATTTTTTCCTGTAGTAAGCAACCCCCTCCGCCTTTTATCAAATCCAAATTTTCATCTACTTCATCTGCTCCATCTATGCAAACGTCCAATTCTGGGCATACTTCTAGATTGGTCAGTGTAAGTTTATTTTGTATTACTAAATCTCTGGCCTGGAAAGAAGTGGGTACACATTTAATGTCTAATTTTTCCTTTTTCACTCGTGCTGCTAAACGTTCAACTGCAAAAATTACTGTGGAACCACTTCCAATGCCTACTAGATCTCCGGATTTGACGTGTTTATCTACAGCCAAGTAGGCTGCGGATTTTTTAGCTTCCTTTATACGAGACATCACAGAAAAGGAAAGTTTTTGGAATACGAAACCAACTTTGTGATTGATTAAATTATTCGTTGTTCCAAACGCAGAACTTTTGCCGATAAAGCTGATACAAGTGATCATTTGATAAACATTCAAAGGGGTTAGATTATAATATTAGAATCTCTTCTTTTTTCCCAATCATCATTTCTGCTACTTTTTGTTCTTCTTCTTCTTCTTCCTTTTTCTTATTCGTCTCATAATTATCGATAAATCGATAAATTTGCCTTCAACTAGTCATAACTAATGGGACATAGGCAAATGAATTATTTTTTCAAGTTTTTTCGACTTGTTTTTGCTAATAATTTCACAGTATATTCATGAGTTGTTATCAAAATCGGCAGTTTGTTACAGGGAAGCCACGAACAATGATTCCTGATGATGAAATCGACGGATAACTTGTTTTGACGAAAATTTTGTAGTGCTTTTGATTAGTATACAGTGTGTCCCAAATTCCATCCTCACCATTGGGATCTCAGTAACTATGAGAGATAGAGAAACGATTAAATTAGCAAAGTTGTAGCAAATTCAATGTTGAATCAGAATCTATATAAAAATATAGAAATCCGGGCTGGCTTCAGTCATTCTTGAGTTATTTGAGAAAAAATGAAATCTTATTGTATTTTTGTTTTTCTCGAATATCTCGGAAACTATTGATTTTATGAAAAAATTACTTCAACATTCTCATAGCACTTTCTGGTGCTCTTTTCAATGGTTTTATCAGTTTTCCATCAAAATGCAAATTTCTGAGAAATCACCTACAACTTCAATTTTTCTCATGGACGCCATATTGGATTTTTACAGATTTGAAATCGGCATTCAATTTCCTTTCTAGCCCAACTAGCATTTTCAGTCACAGGCACCATGGTTCAAGAAACTATTACCTATATTTAGTGATAATAACGTATTTATCACTTATTTCAGAACTTCATAGTATAAATGTCAGTGATAGTTATTTAGTGAGTGAAAATTACGTAGTTTTTACACTAGATAATAACTTCAAAGTGAGAAATTCTCATGGCTTATTACGAAGTAACTATTTCGAAACTGTCACTCCTCAAAACTACTCTTAAGGTTTCGGAACTTTGGATATATTATTACGGTAACGCTTACCACCCCAAGAAGGCTTCACAGTTGCAATTACTCTATGGTCACCAATTAGGTTTCTACGACGTTGTCGTTACTTGATCGATCACCTAATAATTTAGTCAATTCTTGGTGATATTTCAAGTAACATATTGGTAATTCCTACTCAAACAATTCCTTCATAGTTGAAACAACTTTTCGGTAATTATATTCAGTTGAAGTTACCAATACATAGGTTATCATAACTGACAAGTTCCAAAAGTAACTTTCTGATTCATTTTCGATTGGAAGCCATATTGATTGATGTGATAACCATTTGAACAGGAAATAATTTTGGTTTTTCTTGTTGATAAACATCATTTTATGAAGAATAATAGCATTCGTTCGATCACAAATTGCATAATAATGGAAATTAACATGATTTTTGAAAAATAGCCGAATGAAATAAAACCATATTTTTGGTGAAATGAGCCGTATTTTGTGGGCGCATCTTGAATTTCGAGGCAAAATCATCACATTTATCGAAAAACTGAATGTTGTTCGAATTTTTCAAGTTCGAGTATCAATTATTTCGCGTGTTTGTCCTTGTATTATTTATTGAATGGTTAGGCATATTGGACTTGTTCATTTTTCGTGAATGTGAACTTCATGGATGAAATGAAGAATAATAAAGAGAGAAAATAATATTTTTATGAAGTGGAAAAGAAATAGAAAGTCAGGTAGGAAAATTTACTACATCTTTACGTAATTTCGACGTCGACGGGTCGTAAGCATTACGTAATTGTGTGAGTTCCCGCTACGTCGGCAAACCGTAATAATTACTCGTGATTTGTTCCCCATTTTGGTCGTAAATACGTAGTAACGACGTAATTATAACGTAACCGCAACTAGTAAATATTACTTAATAGTCGACCCAATAGTCGTAATTACGTAATCGCGACTATAAATGCTAGTTGGGAGTGATGTATCACAATCACAGTTTCATTTCATTTGGGGTACTGATTTCCAATTTTTGTTTTTATGTTCAGTAGGCTATGAATTCTGTAACTAATAAATAATACTCGAAGTCATATCCACGACAACTCATTATGTTGTTTTATTAGGTTCTACCCTTTTCTACCCCATTCCACCATGACTTTTACCAGAGATTATGAATTCTATGTTCTTGCATAACTTATCGTATGGAATTTTGATGTGTACTATTATATACATATAGCAGAAAAAAAATTAACAGGTGAATAATACAAATACTATAATGAATAATACAAATACTAAAATAAAAAGCAATCGAACTGCTCGAAATGGCCCCCATTGTTCTCGATACATTTTAATATTCGCGAGTGAACATGATTCGCTGCTTTTCTCTGTTTCTTCATAAATTTTATTTTTGGCGTAGCCCCAGATAAAAATCGAAAGGCGTACAATCAGGCGGCCTTGGAGGCCATCTCACAGGATCCAGGTACCTAATTAATTTACCACCAAATTGATTTTCGAGTTACTCCCTAACCAATCGCGTATTGTGCGGTGAGGGGACCACTTGCTGAAACCATATTAACTATTCATATTCAGCAAGTGGTATCTCGTCTATGAAATTGGAAATCTCATTCCGCAATAACTCTAATTAACGTGTGGACCATTCAATTTATAATCGTAGATTATTGGACCTAGTAGTCTACTGCCTGAAAAAAAAAATCACAATGAGAAACAGCTATTTATGGACAAAAATTCTAGTAAGGTACCAAATATCCCACACCAAACATTGCAACCAAATTTGTTCTGTCTCTTTGATTCTTTGATGACATGCGGCTTATTTTGTGCCCAGCAGTATAATGATGATTATGTTTATTATAAATTCCATTATTATGAAATCTAGTTTCATCGGTCCAGCAGATATTCAATGGAAAGTTTTCGATTCTTTCACACTGGTTGACGAACCAGTGACAAAACTCGAGACGACGTTCATTATCACCAGTTCTTGAACCCTTGTACTTTGTACTATCATTGGTTTGAAAGAGTGGTACTTATATATCATTCAATAAATGTCTGTGAATTGTTGTTTTCGGCACTAGAGTTCTCCGACTAAGCTCTCGAATTGAAATGGTTGGAGTTTGATTGATAATTCCTTCGATACTTGCAATTTCTTTGTTCATCCAAGCGCAATAAACCATACCTTTGCCTAGGTGCAATGAAGCTTCCATGCTCTTGTAAATTTCTTTGTAATGTTAGAATCATAGAAGGATGCGGCTGTTGTCTTCCCGGGATACAAATGGAAGTATTGTCTAGCTGTTTTTCTATTATTTCGATTATTTCTGATGTAACAATGGGCGTGTACACCTTAGTAGAATATTTAACTCAAACCATGTTTATAATGATCATTTTATACATGAATAATGATTGTCGACATAATTCGATCGAAAAATTAACTGGAACGTTTTATTTTTGGACATAAATAATAGTACCTTCTGAAAACAGACCCTTTTATGACGTAGAAACCTCATCTCGCCATAGTTAAAAGAAAATACCAAACGCCCGACGGAGACTGAGGCAACTGATATATTAATTCTTTCAATTGTGATCTCGCGCTAATTCACTCTGTCAGAAATCATGTATCATTCATCTCTGTCTGGAATAATCTTGTTTCAGTATCAGGGTTTTGACGTCACATATCGTCGCCTCGTTTTCAGAGGTCCGAAAAATCGGGGATTTCAATAATTTTTTATAAAACGTAGGGAGCTCACAGCAAGAAACGGTTTGCGGTGGTGAGCTAGTTTGGGTGAGTTCTATCGAATTATGAAATCAACATTTTTTGTGATATAAGCCCATTGATGTACATATCAAATTTTTCGAGATTCGAACGGCATTGTTTGCCCCGAAATAATTAACTTGTATTTTCTCATGACGTTTACAAAAATGGCTCCAAGCCTACTTTATGAAAGTTGTGATATAACACATAATCGTTAATATTGTTTATAGAGAGTTTAGCGCATATATAGCCTAAGGGACATAAAAATAAAAATTGGAAATCAGTACCCCAAATGAAATAAAACTGTGATTGTGACATCACTAGAAATTTTATGCCGATTCCAAATCTGTAAAAATCCAATATGGCGTCCATAAGAAAAATTGAAGATGTAGGCGATTTCTCAGAAATTTGACATTTTGATGGAAAACTGATAAAACCATTGAAAAGAGCACCAGAAGGTGCTACGAGAATGTTTTAGTAATTTTTTCATAAAATGAATAGTTTTCGAGATATTCGAGAAAAACGAAAATACAAGATTTCAGTTTTTCTCGAATAATAACTCATGAATGACTAATGCTATCCCGGATTTCTCGATAGATTCTGATTCAACATTAAATTTGCTACAACTTATTTGCTAATTCAACCGTTTCTCTATCTCTCATAGCTACTGAGATCCCAATGGTGAGGATAGAATTTGGGACACACTGTATACATATTATATAAGCATCATTTCTACGTAATATTGGTACTCTGGGTAAAAAACGATATTTTCATTCTGAAAAGTGAAATGGGATTCCAAATATAATTTCATGCACGAATTAACCCTCATCATCAGGGGCTCACAACTTGTGAGTTGTGAGTACGGGAATTGTGAACTCACCCGAGGTACCATCTATAGCCGGATATTCACCAAACTTCAACTTGTCTTGGGTGATATCCTCTTCTCTCTTATCCTTTTCCAATCTATCCTATCGGCGTTCCTTGGCCAACTTGTTCTTTCCTCTCAAAAATGATGTCGTGGGGAGGACAGACCGCGGCCGCTCGAAAAATTAAGCATTTTGGGGCCATCTTTGCTATCTCCGGGACAGATATGGAGACCTGCAGAACATCTCTTTCCAAAGACTCGTTCATCCAACGAACAGCGAGGCTCTGGAACACATTGCCGAGGGAGGTGTTCCCCGAGGCATATAACCTCCAGAAATTCAAGAAGAACACCAATTCCTACCTTATTTCCCTTGCTTCTTACGATGATCTC